TAGAATCCAAGAAGGAAGCCGTCATGTGAACCAGAGTGAGAAGATTCTGGTGAAGGTGTATCATCTTCCTCTGACGATGAATGATCAAGGATATCTTGCAGCTCCTCGATCTAAAATATGTTAGTATAAAGTTTACTAGGTAGCAAAGAAAAGATGGGGATATCTACCTCGTCCCCTAGACTAGTCCAGAGTCGATTGCTAACATATCGGCTCCGGCCTTCATCAATGACCAACCGCCCAAATTCATTCTCAAACTTTTTGGGGGCAAGTTTCTTCGGATCCGATTCTTCGAACGGACAGGGGTGACCGCCGTCAGCCTGGTTCGGTGGTTTCTGTGGCTCGGCCGAGGCAGACGTGGGCGCAGTCGGTTCACTCCGACTGGTCGAAGATCCAGGCGTAGATGACTGCGCCTGAGCTGATGTCGATGCACCTTCTGTATTACCACCGCTCCTAAGGTGATCAATCACACCCTCCAGACGACGCAACCGTGAAAGCAGCTCTGCGTCGGGTGGGCGCTTCGATTTCCGCGGCGCACGGCCAGGAGGAGGGAAAATGCAGTCGATACCGGCTTTGGTACAATTCGAACACGGGGACCTCTTGTTGCATCGGACTTTTCTGCGGCGGCAGGTCACACAGCTGCGAGAGCTCGAGCTCGGGAGTTCCTCACCCGCGTGGCGGGGAAAGGTGGCGGTCAAATTCGTAGGTAGAGCATTATTATTGACGGGAAAGAGATTCGGCTCCTCTGGCGAAGCTGAATGGAACGACATGGCGCTGGATTAAGGAATTTAGGTCTCGCTTCCCATATTCTTTGAAGCTTAGGAGTTCGAAAAATCTCTGGCCAAAAAAATACGAGAATAGTCATCGCATATAAGCACCAAATTATTCATGAATCACTTGGGGCCGAGTATGCGGGCATATGACTGGCTGATTGGAGTTCCAAGGTTCTAAAACGAAATGACTCAGCACAGGGTCTGGCCGGGGTGTCGTTGTCCCGTTTAGGTAAAAGGCCGTTATCTCCGTCGACTCTGAGGGTCATATACATCGTGAAAAGCCTGAAGCCACCTAATGCTTAGATATTGGTGTATCTGACTAGGCTCAATTGGAAAACCAAGTTACTATCTATAATATACCAAAATCTAGGACTTACCCATAAAACCTCATTGAGATAATTTCAGGTCATACTACTCTTCCAGTATATATATATAAGCGCATATAATTTTGACCGGGAGACCCTCGAAGAGACTGTCACGCAGAGGGAATAAGTTACTATCCTGTATCACCTGCCAGCGAGAATATATAGATAGCACTAGATATTCTAGCTCACAGTAATGCCTATCCCTGCACATTAGCGCATACAAATGGCGATTCTGCCGGTTATCCTCCTCATCCATGTGCACAGCAGTGATATCGATGAAAAGGGACGGTGTGTCAACCCAGCGGGCATCGATCTTATTCAAAGTCTCTCTCTTCGATTTGATGACATAATTGGTATTGACCTCGAGAGAACTCATGTACGGTTGACGCCAGAAAGGCCGCTCTATTAAGGTGAAGAGCCTTATAGCAAGATCACGATCCAGAGAACCTTTATGGAAAACAAACCTACTAAGACTATGAGGGAGTGTTGGATCTAGCTGAATTATGACTATACAACCCAAAAAAAGGTTACTCTTAGTTCTCCAAACCTAAAACACTAGATGAAAAAAAAAAAAAAAAAGAAAAAGAAATTGAACAGCTTTACCAGCTACTTCGGCTGATCTCCGGCTAAAGTTGCATGATCAATCAAAGACGTCGGCTTTGTGTCAAAGTCTTCGGGTAACTTCCCAACGAAATCCCCCTCGCCTCCAGCAATGATCTCCAATGTTCTGTTTATTTATTACAGCGACGCAGAAGACCCATCATCATCTGCATATTAGAGGATGGGGGGTACAGTACATCCTCCCCAGGCTTGACCAACAGCGAATCGCAGCTCATTTAGGGACGTCGGTCATCTGCACAGCTTGAAGCTAGCCAATCATACAAGACAGCCTAAGAAGTTAAGCCTTTTTGTGATCTGCACTGATCGCTCCCTAAGAAATCCCGAGCCCGAGCCTCATCGGATTTTTCTGCTACCGTAATAGGAAGGGAAGATCAAGCTTGCCTGATTTGGAGACTTGCTCTTTGGTTTCTTCAAGTAATGGTCTTGACTCCCGATGTCGACTATGAGTGGATCGGGTATCTTTTCCAGCTGTGCGACCGGGAAGACCTGAACCAGCCCTTTTCACGACATTAGAGGGATAGAATTTCTGCTGGTAGTAACTTGCAAGCTCAATAACTCGAAGTAATGGGGGCACGTGCCCAGGGGCATACTGCTTGGGTAGAATTGTCCCTCCGAGCATCACTTGTACTGGCCTTGAAAGTGGAGTACTCTGGAAGTTTTGGCATGTGGTAACACTCCAAGTTCTGCCAGCTAAATAGCCACCAATATATCCAAGTATAATGGGCGGTATAATGGGCGGTATAATGAATTAGGAAGGCGGCAGCAGAAGGGCATGCAGATCCACAACAGAACGTGGTAGCTGTGGATAAATTGTAGGCAAAAGATGTCAGCTGGCCACATATCCATGGATATAGAGCCTATGTTGTATGTTCTGAGAGATGTCCGACTATTCCCCATAAACCACGGACATCGCCGCCTCATGCGCTAAAATGCTTGTCAAGACACAGAGTGGACATAAGAGATAAAACCACCCAGATAGGTCGCAACTGGTTAATAACAAAGTCTCCTCAATAAACCGGCATTGATACTCCGTAGTATAAAATTGATTGACTGGCATTGGAAATCGCAGCCTATGGTGTTACAGCTTTAAACCCACATTCAAGTCTACACGTTGTACATGTCCAAGAACACCTCTTTTGCTCGAATGTTCCATAGTGCCCACCTATCCGGCATACCGAGAATACCAAGGTATCATTCCCGGTGGGATATTAGGCTGAATCCTTTGTCACATGTTTATAAGGATCGTCTTCTGGCTCATCGTCAAGTGGGCTCATTGTGGAGTGAACAACAATTGAGACATGCAGATACTCACTATACCTCAAGGGCTAATTCATACTGTTTGGTGAAGACGATCTATATCCCGATGAGACTTTAATACTCTGTTCAGTGGATATCGCACAGTGTTATTTCACCGCGATCGGCCGGGGTGTTCAGAGAATTGGCCGTTGAGAATTTCCAATTTTTGTTAAATCATTCTTATATGGTAAAAAAAATACCCCCCCACAGCGAAGCTATGTTTATATCCTCAAAAGTGCGAATTTATATTTACTTCCACCGTCTCCGCAAATAGGAAGTTATAGCGAGAATAACATGAACCGATTGGGACGACCGGTCTTAACCGTCGGGCACTTTCGATAGGCCAATAATGAATGGACTGTCGATACCAATGGCTTTTCAGTGGAGATGTAGTGGCATAATGATTCGCTATGTTTAGCTTTAGGCTTTCAACCTTCATCACCGTTTCATTTATAAGTCAATTCGGGAGGTATACGCTGGTGCCTATCTTCTTCCTGAACCAGCCACCGTGAAAGAATATTGGTCGATCACTCGGATATTACTACTAGCTTGTTAGTACCTAGTGTCCTACATATGTACCTGTGTGTACCGGATTTAGATTTTCCCGACCGGAGTGTTGCCGCTTTACTGGCGCGCTTAGCATTTTGTCTACTGGGTTGTTTACTCGTATATAAGTTAAGTCTGGCTCAATTAACTTGCTACTAGAATTAACTCTAGATATATAATGTGAAGGAATAAACACCATAAAAAATACTATACATGAATGTTGTATATAAAAGCATAGATTGGTTTCTTTTACTCCATAGTACGCTTAGCATTGCCCGGTGGAGTTGAAAAATGGCACAGACTTTGTGGGTACTAGATGTCTATAGATATAATAGGATACATCAAAGATATCGCAATTGCATAGCTATCGGAAAGGTATTAATTAAGCTCAGTAAGTATAAATGTATAGATGTATAGTTTGACTTTTGGCATTTGAGAGTATGAATCTTCAATAGCGAGGTACATATTCGGATATGGATTTTGATAGGGAAAAAAAGGTTGGTGGTAAGTTTAATCGAACCTTATGTTTAGCTCTGTTCTATGTGGAGATTTGTTCGTTTCAAATGTTATGCCTGTGTAATTGAACAAAAACAGGTCTAAGGCGCTGAGCGATTGGGTCATCAAGATAGAAAAGGATGATGCTTAAAATGCCTCACAAGCCAGGCTATAATACATAGAAATAGACAATTGCATCCCCTATAAAGCCCATGAACTATTTTATCTCCTATGGTAATAGTAATGATTAAATGCGCTTTCCCTTTTTTCCTTCAAAATCTAGTTATTAACGTGTAACATGCCTATGAAACCTCAAGCATCGTCAACGAGTCAATTAGTGGCATAAATAGTGGCGTAGCCGTGGAATAGTAATGCTAATAAATGCAGTTAGAGGATAACGTTGAACATTGATGCTGAATGTATTTCGTAAATATAACTATTGAAAGCTCTCTTTACTCAAAAAGCGGCAAGGGATAAACACTAAATATAGAAAGGAGAGCCGGAATCTGATGTATACATGTATGTAAGATTACCCATACTATACATTATATGTATTTTATCTTCTATCCAACAACTTAGCGCGGAGAAACAAGGATTCTTACCCTCTCCACTTCTCCAGGGCTTCTAGCCTTCCCTGAATGCTTTAGCATCTTTTTTGCGTTAAGCTTCGATTTAATTTTCCAGCTTTCACATGATAAATTCCTGCATTCCTTAATTCACATCCTTGTGGGGTTTGACATCGAAATCCATCGGACACTTTTGGTTAATTCGACCTTCATGTCAGTCCCCCCATTGCACGATTTTCACTCGATAAAATGACTCGATATACCCAGTAACAATCGTTACTCGGACCTACCATTGAGGCCGTCTCATAATTTATGCGAAACAACCACCAAACTCTCATTTCATGACGGTTTCTGGCAAGCCTGTGTGTGTGAATATGTCAGAGACCTCTTCCACACCTCAAGGCGAATCAAGCAACTCCCAAGGATCAGCCGCCCAGCAATTAAATAGATCCTGCGAGTCTTGCCGAAGTCTCAAGGTCCGCTGTCTCCCCAGCCCATCCACGCCTAATCAATGTCAGCGATGCGCCAAGGGAAAGCGATCATGTGTCTTCGTGGCGCCGCAGAGACGGCGGCCCCGGAAACGGACAGATTCGCGTGTCGCTCAGCTCGAGAAGGAGATGCGGATGATGCGTTCGCTGTTGAAAAATCGCATCCCCGAAGAAGAAGAACCGGATTCTAGCGATGAAAGCGACGTGGACGATGTCCAGGATCATGATTCGGCCGATGCCGATTTTAAGAGCAGTCTCGTCTTGCGGGACCATTCCGCTCACTCCTCTGAAGATGTCCGTTATATGGATTATTCCCCTGAGTTATTAAATACCCCGCACCCCGGCGGGCATGATGGTGGCTTTTCAGCGCCGCCGACTTTCACCAGTATGTCAGCTGGCTTTGTGTCCGAGCAGGAGAGGCTTCCTCCGGCGGACGACGTGATCGATCGGGGGATTCTCTCCCTCGAAGATGCGGAGCAATTGGTGGCGTATTTCATTCACGAACTCGCATTATTCTTTCCATTGGTCGTCTTGCCTTCGAACACCACGGCAGCTCAACTGCGACAAACAAAACCAATCCTATTTCTTTCTGTGATTACCGCGACATCCATATCCGTCGATGCAGGCCTGGCAACCGTGCTGAACCGCGAGATGGTCCGTCTCTATTCAGAGCGGTTCTTCATCGAAGGCGAAAAGTCACTAGAGTTAGTGCAAGCGCTGCTGCTAATGATCATATTTTATCACCCGCCCGCTTCGCCATTGAAGCTGCAGGTTTATCAGTACACGCACATCGCCTCGACGATGGCACTAGAAATTGGGTTAGCTAATAAACGTCGTGTCTCGAAAAAGTCCGATCGCCAGAGCAGCGGACATGACGAGGTGCTGGCTGAGCAGGCGAGAGCAGTCCTCGGCTGCTACCATCTTGGTTCGAGTGTTGCGATGAAAACCCGTCGTCCAAATCTGCTCCAGTTCAATGACTGGATGACCGAGTGTCTTAGCCATTTAGAAAACTCGCCGTATCGAACGGATCAACATGTGGCGATATGGTTCGAACTCCAACGAATAACCGATGAAGCAATGTCTTCATTCGGTCTGGATGACACCAGTACCACATCGCCCCTAACCGAATCACGGGTCCAAGCCGTGCTTCGCTGGTTCGACAAGCGGCTCGAGACATGGAAGAAGAACACCCCGTCAGAAATGCTCACCAGTAAGCAACACCAGTCCTCTCGCTTTGTGTCATGATGCGTTCAAAAACCACCCAATACTAACCGATTCCATCAAACCAGTCCCCATGATCCTCGAATACCGCTCCACGGCACTAGCGATGTACGAACTCGGTGTAGGAGAAGGCTATCGCGACCCAAACGCAATAAAGCGACAATATTACACACTGCCGACCCTCGATGAACAAGGCAACGGCGGCAGCGAATCACCGGACGGCCCACTCAGCGCAATCCGCATCGACATCAACATCAAATGGATGAACGCCGCACATGAACTGCTGAACGCCGTGCTGACCTGCAGCACGAACACGATACGTAAACTCCCGAATCTCATGTACACCCGGTTCGCGATGGCCGTGACATCCCTGCTGAAAATCCATTTCTCCGTGCGTACCGGTGCTCTCGGGGAAGTCGTCACGGCACAGGCCGTGAACGTGGCCTACTACCTCGATGCCCTGGCGAGCAAGCTAAGCGAGGCCAGTGGCGGGGGTAAGTACCATATCCCCAGTCGGTGGTATTATGTCGTGGGCGTCAAGGGTCGGGATTGGTATGAGCGGTTGGAAAGGCGGCAGAGTGGAGGGATAGAAGTTGGTTCTCGAGTTTTATCGGGGAGTCCGTCGACCGGTACTGCAGAGTCGATCTCGGGTCTAGCATCACACCCTAGCCAAACCCAAACCCAAACCCAAGATGCACACTTGGATCAAGTTCCATCAACGATGGACTCATTCCCCGTCGTTACCATGGCTCCAATGCCACCGGCAATAGACAGCATGCGTGATGGGTACGTAGCGATGGGTGGTGCCAACATGTGGGCCATGGATGGTGGACATAACCCGCATTTCTACCCTATGAGCACGGCAGGGTATCAGCCTTCGGTGTCGCATGCGCAGGCGACGTTGCCACCTCAGTACTCGTATGGGCCGCAGAGGATGCCGGTTAGTGCTGCTGGGCAGCATATGGCTAGGGCGGGCATGGAGTTGGATGGGTGGCTTCCTGATGGGAGTATTTTTGGGGTGCAGCCTTTGCCTGAGTTTTGAGATGATCAGAATTCTGGATGGGTGAAGCCTGGAATGACTGCACATGTTAGTCTATGTAAAGGCCATAGATCATGAATATGAACTGTATATACATATGAACATGTTAATATTTTAAACTGATAACTATCCCGTAGTCATACCAGAGAAGTATGTTATGCTTACCAATAGATGAGAACAAGATCTAAGAAGATCCAAGAAGACTCAAAAAAGGTAGAACCCTCACAACTCAACCCTGATATGTAGATGGGAGTATAGAACCCGGAAGGCAGCAGACATACCCACCAGTTCCCAACAAAACCCGACAACAGTCAAGTCACCAAGGCAAAAAGAAAAGAAAAGAGAAAAAAGAGAAGAACCGGCCAACAAAGAAGAGAATATTCCAAAACCCAGCGGATGTCACATTAACCCATTTAGCCCGAACAAATACAATTCGCAAAATGCTGTCGGAGGTTCGGGAGAATCGGAACTTCCGCGATGGAACCCTTCGGGATAACTGAGTATCAGGAATGTATTGAACATGGGTCTGATGTGGGTTTATTCGGGATATTGGCTCATTTCTGCACTATGGGGTATGATGTTACATGTATGTTGCATATGTTGCATTGGTATATGTCTTTTGATGGCATTGGCTTGTGTTGTACTCGGTATTCGGGCTGACTCTGAGCCGAACCCGAAAGGGTGAGGGCCTCAAGGCTTCCTCGTTCTTAGATTGACTTAGTTATGGATGTCTCGTTACTAATGTATGTTGTATTTCGATGGGAGCATTCCTTTTCACTATTTTGAGAAGATTGTACTGATTTGAGAATGTGTTGTATAACACGCTCGTGGAGTGGTTAAAACAGACAGCCATAGAGTAATGACATGGAATAATATATAACCAAATCGTTAATCATATCTCATGCAAATAGTCTCAATAAAAATAGGTTCGTCAATTCATTGCATAGATAGAACATTGATATCAAAAGCTAACCGAAACCAGCACCAACCAACTTGGTCTATTCAACTCCTTGGGGAAGAATCAAGAAACCCAATACACCGAACCAAAGAAAAAGCGTAAATGTGATGCAAATGTAGATTACAGAATTGAAAACGCCTCTAGCGCATCCATGAATCCAGCAATAGCCCCGATCCCCGCCAATCCCCTTGTAGCATTACGGGTCAAAGCCTTATGTCGATCCTTGGCATCTTCGCGCGAGGACTGGCGTGGGTGCACCGATGGAGATCGTTGTTCCGAGCGAGTCGGCGAGGCTCGGAAGCTAGACTCGGGGGATGAGGAGGAAAGCGGGTATGCGGATGGGTGGTAGCGGGATTGGGGTTTGTTGTTATTAGGGATAGTGTTGTATGCATGATTTCGGGCTCGGGGGGACTCAAAGTGGACTTGGTTTGGCGATGGGCCTCTGGGAGAAGGGTTGGTGTTGGGAATGGTGATGGGTGGGTTGTTGGGTTGATTCATGTTAATTGGGATGGATCGGGGAGCTGTGGCGTAGTCTTGGTTTGGGTGGTATTTGTATGGCTGCTGGGGTGGACCCGGGAGTGTGTGTGAGGGAAGTGGTGGAGGACGGGGTATGGTATGGCTAGGGGGGTGGGAAGCTGCCGCTTGGGTATGTGTTGAATCTGCTGTCGGGATTGTTGTGACCAGGAGAATATCTGGACGAGAGGCTGTTAGAGTGGAAACGGTGACCTTGCATGGGGTTGGTGCCGTGTGAGGGCCGATGAGTGTCCGCTCTTTGCTCGTCTTCATCACTTGAGTCGATGACCCTTGGGTCGCTGCGAGGCTTATCTCGATGCTTGAATTCATCTGGCTCTGGTTCGCTTTCAACGTGAGCCTGGTAGCTGGAGTACTTTCGGCGCAGCTCTGCTGCATGCTGTCGAGCCTCTTGGGAATGAGGGTCTCTCCAGTCCACTGTTGATCCTTCGAGGTAGTAACCTCGGATTTCGTGACCATCAAAGTCTAGCTCCTCGGCATCGTCTTCTTCGGTGTCCGAGGAGACGTAGACTCGAGGTTGGACTAGCTTGTTGGATGTGTTGGAACGTTTGCTTGCGTGGTGTAATTCCGAAGGGTCAACCAAAGGCACCCAGAGTGAAAGCAGCCCATTCAATGTGCTCTCGGATAGTTGCACCATATCCTTCGGGGATCTTTCCATATCACTCAGCCCCACGCCACTGTCTCCAAGAGTAATAATGGGCAGTCTCGTCGGATCCGAGCGTCTGGTTGCCGTAGTCAGTGACTTCGATGCCATATTGGACGAGTAATTGGAACTGATTCTCTGGTTTGTCGGGTCATTAGCGGCATCCAAAGTCTCCTGTTCCACAAGATCCCACAAACGATCCAGGCGCTTGATAGACCAATATCGGACGATGATCATGTTCTGAGATTCTGCTTTCTCTTGGGCAATCGCATCATCGGCGGAGGATGTAAGTGAATCAGTATCAGTCCCCTCGTCAACGTTGGATTTGATGACCTTTCCAAGCTGTAGAGTCTGTAGCATTACAATCAGGCTGAGCTTGAGAGATTCCAACTGGGCTAGTAAATAGGTGACATGTTGCTTCCGGAAACACCATTTGAGTCTCTCCTGCAGTGGAATCCTCATAAGGTCACTGTCTCTATCGGTTGCCTTCAGCTTGTCCAGCATGTGTTCGATTTCAATAAAGATCATCTGGCCTTGTCCGGCGATCTCCCAGGCTTTCTCAGTTGCCTCTGGAGACTGGTCCGCACCGGTGCTCTCAATAGTCTGCCCAACATGTTTGAGTGCTAGAGCGAAAAGCGAGATCCCCTTGGCGATGCTATGAATTTCCAGCCTCGACTGAGCGAGTTGACAAGCGGCAGCATTGAGGAGCAGTGAGAGCCGAAACCCCGCGCCGGCGATTTTAACAATGGAAGCCTGTGAGCCTTTAGAGAGAAGGAGCCCATTAGTAGAATTTCTCAAGTTCTTACAGTGAAGGCCATACCTTGAGCCATGGTAAAGCAGTGTCTCAGATCATATCAGAAGACAAAATGGGTTTCCTCAACGATCATAACCTCTTGAGCTACTCTCCGCCAAGAATTAGAGCCGCAAACCTACTGCATATCAAGTGACTCACGTCTGACATGTGTATTTGAAACCCCGGGGGTTCTCTGTTTGTGTTCCCCGCGATTCATGGCGTCATGATCTATGCCTTCTCACCTTCTCGTTGGCTTACAAGGACGGGGGGAGCCGATCTTCAACCTGAAATGATCTAGCTTGTGTTTTTCCTTGTTATATTGAAGTCCCAGGCGAAAGTACCCTGGCACTGCCTCGAACTTCGATCAACACGACGTTGCGATCGACTCCTTTGCCTTGGATTTATTTATCAAGACTGTCTCACCCGTATCAAAGGGCAGAGTCTCTCTACCGGAGGTCTTCGGATGCCCCTGAAAGATCGACCCTTGGTTTACCCGGGTTTTCTCCCAGGGCGAAGTATCGTGGCAATGACCTCGTATCATAAGAACCGGGGTCTGGAATGAAAGGTCAAGTTAATTCAAAGGTTCGGTTATCTTCGATTCCCGGAGTCTCTTATGCTTTGTTCGACAAAATACAATAAGGTAGCCACAAACGTGGTATAAGAGTAGACATGCCGCTATTCCGACGTGGATCTCACAAGCATTGACCTGTTAAATGTGCAACGTTCCTATAGAATGAAGAGTAGAGAATATCAAAAATATCCAAAAGAATGTATTCAAGTATTCAAGTATTTAAATATCTCCTGTTTTCATGCAGACTTGTTTATTTAGTATCCGACCTGATAGGCGTATTTCCGCTTTCGGTCCCTCAACAGTTGCTTTTGTTATCTGCCTAACCTCCAAACCCCCCCTTAAAACTCCAAGTACTCCGTATTCTCTCTTCAATACCTCTTTAAACTGTTTTAATTACAAATTCGACTTAAGTCCTTTGTTGTGGCCGCTGTGTTGGCTAATTGATCTCTCCGCCGCATTCTCCGCCCCTCCTTTTTCGCCGCGTGGCACACCATCTGCCGGAGATTGCCCAAGCTTGTCCGACCATCTAGTGGCCCACAATCGGACGTGGGAAACTCGCGATAAGACAAACACACCTAAACAAGAGCTCAAAAGCTCAACGCAACAATTGTGCGGCCGGATGGGTGAGCTCCCGAAGGTATCGCGAAGGAACGTGAGGACGCAAGGGACAACTGGGATCCGATACACCACCTTAAGGCTCCCAAGAGCCTCCAGTCCATGAAATCATGACCGCAACCTCGGGTGTCACTGTAGACACCTCCGATCACCCTATACCCTCCCCACCGAACGCCACCAATCCGTCCCAACAGGAGCCCCAATCGAAGGGCGATTCCCCCACAAATCAAAATGAAAAGGAGACAGAGGGCTCATCGCCCCCAACACTAGCATCCGAACCTGCTGCAGAGTCTGCTAAACAAGATCCTCCTGCATCAGATGAAGTAGATGATTTTGGCCTTCCCATTCGAGCACGCCGACCCGACCCCACACCCCGCGAGACCCCCAAAGGAGAGAATGCAAGCCAAAACATTCAGAATGTGGCGGTGAGCTCGGGCTATAGTGATACCGTGAAAGAGGAGAAGGAGCCGGAGTTGCAACAGGGCAAGCTGGATTCTGGGGCCCCTGAGCCAGTCAATTCGCATAATACAGAAGAGCGAGGCAAGAGCGCCGAGGCTCAGGACAATTCTGCACCTCCGGAGTATTCACCGGCCGCTGGTCCACATGCCCAGCCTCGGACCTCAACATCGAAACAAAGAACCGCCCAGGTGTCCGAATGGTCGCACCAGCGCCTCGCCCAACCTGATGCACATCACCCCGAGAGTGAAGAGTCAGACGCAGAGCCCGATGAATGGCAATCGATGCCTGCACTTGGAGAATTTGACTACTATGACGACTATGGGAGACTCGTTGCTCGTGGCGCCAAAGAAGAAGGCGACGAGGCTGTATATCAAGGATTAGGAGGAGCAGGGAGGGGTTATACTCGGGTGCAGCTCGATGAAGATGCTCAGTCTGCCACAAGTCTAGATGATGATACAAGCTACCTGTTTCGAGAGACAGGCGACAATTCTGCTGGTCTAGTTGGCGAGGAAATGCGAGATTCCATTAGCCAGCTCCAGGCCACCAAAGACCTTCTCAACGAGACTCAAAAGATCGCGTATGTGGGGGTTGTCAGGTTGGCAATCCATAGTATGAATCATGATCTAGCATCGATTGCCACAACCAAGTCCACGCGCAAAACCATGCAGAAAGCCTCGGATGCCAGCCGAAAATGGGGCCAGGCGATCATGGGGCGAGTCTATGCTCATATGGATATCAATTCTGCTGAGCAGATTATGATCGAACAGCTCGCGGAGCATGGGGTGCAACCAGAAGATCTGGTGCCACCACTCATGCAGAATGCGCGAGTCAAAAATCCGATGGCAGAGAGCGAACCGAAAACCTCTACATCCAGTCAGAAACTCGACTCCCCATCTAGAATCTCTGCAGAGACAGAATCGTCTGAACTAGATCCTCCTCCGCCATACCAGGCCCACGAGACCGAGGAGCCCCCAGAGGTCAAGATGCCTTCTGAGATGCCAACCTCTGATCGCATAGATATCGATCTCCGCTGGACTGTCCTCTGTGACCTGTTCCTTGTGCTCATTGCAAATTCAGCATATGACGCTCGGTCACGAACTCTTCTGGAAAGGGTCGGCGCAGCATTGGATGTAACATGGCTACAGATCTCGCGGTTCGAAAAGCGAGTCACAGACTCCCTCGAAATGCAAGAACAAGCAGAGAAAGAGAATTGGGATGAGTCAGACCACATGGAAAAGCGCCGCAAGATGGCCTTGAAGAGAAAATATATGATTATGGGTTTAGCGACAGTCGGCGGTGGACTGGTTATTGGCCTTTCCGCTGGACTGTTGGCACCCGTCATCGGAGCTGGTCTTGCGGCTGGGTTTACTACAGTCGGTATCTCTGGAACCAGTGCATTCCTGGGAGGAGCTGGCGGCACGGCTTTGATCGCTTCTAGTGCTACTTTAGGTGGAAGCACCATTGGAATGAGAGCTTCGAAACGGCGTATGGGTGCAGTTCAAACGTTCGAATATCGACCTCTTCATAATAACAAGAAGGTCAACTTGATTGTGACGGTCTCTGGCTGGATGACTGGCAAGGTTGATGACGTCCGTCTACCCTTCAGTACTGTCGATCCGATTATGGGCGATATATATTCCGTGCTATGGGAGCCTGAGATGCTTCGAAGCATGGGTGACACTATCAATATTTTGGCAACAGAGGTAAGCTTTATAAGACGTGCGGTAATTCTTAATAGACTAACTAGTTCTTTTAGGCATTAACACAAGGTCTGCAACAAGTACTAGGTAGTACAGTCTTGATGGCGCTGATGGCGTCCTTGCAACTACCACTTGTCCTCACTAAACTCGCATACTTGATCGATAATCCCTGGATCGTTTCGTTGGCACGCGCCAACTCAGCCGGCCTCGTTATGGCTGATTCCTTGAGGGAGCGGAATCTTGGTAATCGGCCTATTACATTACTTGGTTTCTCACTCGGCGCGCGGGTGATCTTTTCTTGTTTGAAAGAGCTGGCCGAAAAGGGTGCCCACGGTCTAATCCAGAATGTATACCTATTTGGCTCACCCGTTGTGGCGAACAAAGACGAATACCTCAAGGCTCGGAGTGTGGTGTCTGGGCGATTCGTGAACGGTTATGCCACGAATGATTGGATCCTGGGCTACCTCTTCCGGGCAACAAGTGGTGGCATCATGAAAGTCGCCGGCCTCGCAGCTGTCGAAGGGATACCGGGCATTGAGAATTTTAATATTACCGCGCTTGTGAATGGCCATATGGATTACCGTACGGCTATGCCTCGAATTCTGAGGGAAGTTGGTTGGGAGGTTCTTGAGGATGAGTTTGCAGAAATTGAGGATCCAGACCCAGATAACCACGCCGAACGACAGCGCGAATTGATCCGCGAGATTGATGAAGCTCGTCGAGAAGCAGAGGCCAAGCCAGAGAAGAAGCGCTTCGGCCTGTTTAAGCGAGGCAAGATGGCCGAAAAGAAGAAATGGGAAACATATGACGTCGACAAAAACATCGCCCCTCGCGATTCAAGTGAACCCGAAAGCGCCCCCGGCACTGTCCTCTTCGATATCGAGGCCATTCGAGCCGAGTTGCACTCCGAAGCGATCGAAATTAAAGAATTAGAGTCGACCATGCCTCTGATGAAGCTAGACCTGAACGCTCCGTCAGAACCACAACCCGCTCAGCCATCTCCCCCTGTACCCAAGAGGCCGAAGACGCCTAACGAACTTCCAGCCGTTTCTCGGACTTCTTCGCTACCCCCGCCAGCATCGGCGCAGTATTCTCCTCACGGGCCCAACGAAATCACTCCGGTGCCGAAGCACGAAGATATGGAAATGACCTTTGACACATCTTTCCATGACTCCCCACGATATCAACACGACGAAATCCACTCCCGTCCAGAGTTGAGAACTGCCTCTACAATGCCGACGATGCCGACGGTTGGTTCCAGCGCTCTCGGAGCCATGGCCATGGAGCCCAATGCCTGGGCGGACCATGATCAGGGACATCGGGATGGCGAGATTTCAATGACGTTTGAATAGTGTCGGCTCAAGGGTTCTTCTCATCTTGCTTTTCCTCTCTTTCTCTTTATACTTTCCTTCCGTTGATTCGGTTTCCGAGACTTAATGAGGCGCATGGCTTGCACATGTGTGTTTGGCTTCGCTAGGATCTGATTGTGTATATGTCCATCCATCTATGTATAGAGGCAGCCCTAGATTCAACAATTATCACGATATGATCTCAAGTTACACGCAAAGCGGATTGGCTTAACTGGCTTTGTCTGTTTTCTCGTAGAATCAATATGTCTATAGTAACCACTATAGAAGCGATGGAGACAGAAATTGTACAACTATATAATATCCTTTAAATATCCTTGAATATCATTTATTACATCGATGACGAGGGATGAGTTATCGACATTGTCTTGAGCCTAATTTTCATTAAACTAGCCGAATATCCTTACACGACCGCTAGGACTCTTCTTCCGTACGATATACTCACGATCCTTCTTTACATTGGGTGATTCCGGTGGTGAGGTCTGAGCGACGACCTTACGCTCGCGCAAGCGGCGGGTGTGGTAAAAGAGCTCGTCTTGCGAATCGTCGGCAATCCATTTCTTGATGATGATATAGTTGGGGTCTTCCTGGTACAGGGAAGTAGGATTAGCACTGGGTTACATCAAGATATGGTTGTGTAGAGGATTAGGCTTACCTCGTCCCAGTCCCAGGGAAGATCGTAGGCTATCAAGGTCTCGGGCAGCAGGTGTTTGCGGTGGCACTTGGGATGGTGTTAGTAGAAACTCTTATTCGATATGATATATGATGGTTGTACTTCATACCCTAATCCAAGTTGTCTTTGACCATAATCCAAGTTGTCTTTGGCTCTTCCACTTTAGGCTCCTTGTGCTTCCCCTCTTTCCGTTCCTTTTTCTTGCCGGGGAATATGTACTCGATTACTGCATCGCTAAACCCTGCGGTGCGTAGTTGCTCGCGCGACTCCTCGTTTTTCTTATCGTTTTGCTTCTTCTCTGCCTTTTTCTTGTTGATAAAATCATCAATCTCCTCGTCGGTATGGTTCATGCTGCGCATCCTCTCACGGAATTCCTTGGATTGCATCTCGGCCTCCATCTGATTGATCCGCTCCTGTTCGAGCTTCCACTCCTCAACATCAAAATCCTTTAGAGCATCCTCCTTCTTCCTCTTCCCCTCGGCCTCCCTCACCTTTCGCGTATCCTCATCTGAAATCTCCCGAATGAGCTGTTTACGCCGCTCCTCTTCCTTCAGGCGGGCAAGCCCTTCCCACTTTTCCACCCGTATAGACTTCTTCCTCTCTTCCTTCAGGCGGGCAAGCCCTTCCCAATTTTCCTCCAGTATAAACTTCGTCTTCAGGCGGGCGTTCTCTTTCCACGTTTCCTCCCGCACGAGCTTCTCTCTCTCCTCTTTCTCAACCTCCCTACGCATAATAACCTCCAATCTCTCTATTCGATACCTCCTAGCCTCTTCGTCCTCAGCATCAGCCCTCTTCTCTGCCGCAAGCCTGTTAAGCTGGTACCGCTCTTCAGCCTTAAGGTCCTCCGCGGATTGATGCGTACGTACGCGCTTGAATTGCTGCGACTTACGCAGCCGCCCACTGGTCTCACCTTCGGACCATATCTCTTCTTCGCGTAGTAGCTGCGACTCACTGAAGTTGCGCGGGTCAGTCCGGCCATGGTACTCCTCTGGCTCGTGCTCTAGACGCTCAGTATCCTGATGCTTCTTCCACATGTCTATGTCCCGCTGGGGGTTGCTCTTCTCCATCAGCTTCTGGCTCATAGCGAGTTCATATTCTCGGTTGTAAGGGGACGATGAGGCGCGCATTTCGTCCTCTACGTTGGATTCCAGCTCTCCTAGGGACTCTCTATCACTCGATTTCGCTTCGGCTGAAGATGTGGAATGTTTACTTGGCCCCCCTCCCAATGGACTGAGATCACTATGATTGGAGTCGGAAGCTGGGGTTGCTGCATCGTTCGTATCATGGCGCTGCTCGACACTCTCCACTGAATTGTCGTCCAAAGATACGTTGTTAAGATTCTCATCCGTCCCTTCTTCATTTTCATCTTCGTCCTCGTCTGTCCGTGGTAGCAAAAACAGCGCAAGCTCTTCCAAGTGTTGCCCCACGTGTCGCTGAAACCCGACAGCAGGAAGAGAGCCCTGTTTGCAGATAGAACAGTCATATGTACCATTTGTGCTTGGTACCGAAACATGTGCTTGCTGAATATGATGATGCCATTGTCGACGGCCGCCGTAGAGCTTGTTGGGCGTCGAGCATCCCGGGAAAATGCAAACGTACGGCATCAGATCGCGGAAAATATGGCGCGCCCATGCTCTCCTGTCTCGAACCGTGATAATGTAAAAGCAATACGGACATTCAAAAGGTCTCTTTCCCGTGCCCTTTTTCGGTATAGGTGGTATTTTGGGGGTATCTGCACCAGTTCCCTCGAGCAGGGTGCCTCCGTATGAAGTTTCGGATATGCCAGCATCGGAGGCCATATCGCCAAGTTGGCCAGGTATCTCCTTAAACACATCTGTTGCCACCGTTTCTGATAGTAGGGTGGATTTATTATCACTCTCGGAAACGATGCCCTGACTTAATTTCGCGTGATGTCGTTCACGGTATTTCAAGATTGCCCTTTGTCGGGCCATTGCGGAGCTGATACGATCAATAGCCAGCGCATCCGCATTGGGATATCTGGTGGAGGAATGCTGCTTAGCCCAGAACTGGAAAGGTTCAGAATCCAGTTTTTTTGTCCCGACCAGTCGATCGTGCTGTGCTGGTTTGCGGATGATCATGGACATCTGGTAGAGTTGATCGATCGTCTCAACGAGAGTTTGATGAATCTCTTGAACCTCGGTAGTGGAGTTCTCGCTTTCGGAACCTCCCAAATCTTTAAACTGATGGTCTTGGGCTTCATCATCGCTGCTCTCTTCGAGCACATCCTGGAGGTCAGTGAGTAGTTCCTGGAACTGCTCTAAGAGCCTCACTATCTGACCCTTGATATGCGAAGCATCCCTAAGACGGTAATCCAGCGAGGATTGACGGGTCTGATGAGCACCGATATTTGCTGCCCACACGCGAAGTCGGCCCAGTTCGTCCCTCCATTCTTGTAGTGGAACCTCCCCAGTGTGGTTGGCGAGCGTGTCTGAGTTGATTAATAAGAGAAACTGGCGGAGGCAGCTCTGCAACAGCTCCGATATTGCCACCATTATCCGGTAATTCTTGAAGTTGCAAGACCTCTGGCATTATTGAGGCGCAGGATGGGTTGTGACTTGTGAGGGTGTACATGCTCTAGTGCGGGGTACTCACTGTCGTAAGCACCGTCCAGCTGAAAAGAAAAACACCATTTCTCTTTTGCAAGGACCCAACGGATCAGAACCGGATATGGTCACCGGTATTGAGGCTGCAGGGCTTGCTCTCGCGATTCTCCCGCTCTTCGTGAACCAGATCGATGCCTACGTCCGCGGCATAGAGAAGATCAAGGGTCTGAGGCGCTACCGACGGGAGTTTAAAGGTTATGCAATAAACCTCCGTACACAACATGCGATTCTACTGAATACGTTGGAACAAGCCTTGGAAGGTATCGTGAACGATGAAGATCAAGTTTCTGAGCTCATCTGCGATCCACAGGGTGATGGATGGAAGGATCCGGACTTGCAAAAGCGACTACGCTCGAAGCTGGACCGAAACTACGAGGTATTCATGGGAAATATGGCTGGCCTCTCTGAGTTGTTGGAACAACTATCACATAAACTAGATATTGGCGCAACGGATACAAAGGTCAGTAGTTGGCATTTCCAATGACCGTCTGATCAATCCTTAACCCGATTTATTCTCTTAACAGACGCCCATCAGCGAAGCGTGGAATATATGGAAATTTCGAAAAATCCTCAGCAAGGCAGTCTACGACGATCTCCTCGTGAAGATTGACGGAACCAATACAGTCCTGAAGACTCTGGTCGACCAATCATTTCACCTAGAAGATACCAAGAAGAGGCGGCAGGGCTGGGGCTACCTTCTGAAACGGTATCAAAAGGCTCGTAAGCATGCCGAGAGATTGTTTAAAGCAATCATTGGAGGAAGCTACTGGGGCTGTCAATGCAAGAATCACCATTGCGTCCACCTCCAACTGCAAGTAAACTGCCTACGGAGTACCGAAGAATACCCCGACAACGACTTCGACGCCAGATCAGAATTTCGAATGATATTTTCTAACACGAAGCAAGCGGACCTACCGTGCCTATGGACTTGGACAGAAGTGGTCTTTGAACCTTGGCAGGTTGAAGAGATGGTTACACTTGCTAGCCTCTCCCTGCATGACGATCCCACGGCCTATCGCCAGAAGAAGCCTAGGGTTCAGTTTGATATGCCTCCTGTAGAGAAACCACGGTCATCGGAAAAACGCCGAGAGGCTCTATCCGCTCCACCAATCCAAGACTTCTGTTCGTCTCTTTGCGTCGCTGAATCAGACATTGAGCGACGGAGAAGTATAGGTTCGATTTCGAATGACCTAGATTCCTCTGTGAAATACACGATGCATGCCGTCAAGATACTTCCAAAAACCGTTCCCCAAAAGCCTCTCCGCGAGGTACTATCACATATCAGTCGACGGGACCGCCTTCGTATTGCTACTGCTCTAGCATGTGGTATGATCCAATTCGGCGGTAATTGGTTGAAATCCTGGTGGGACATCTCTGATGTTCACCTGGCCGCTACAAGCGATGACGGTGGAAATGTACTATTGGATGATCTATACCTATCATGGCCTCTCTCCGCCACGGGCACAATACCAGGGCTTCGAAGTCATTTCGGGGAGAATCGTCTATTGCCACTGGGGCTTGCGCTGGTGGAGCTGTCTCTTGGAAAGTCTCTCCAGACACTGTTGGATCTGGAGGATGGGAATCAGGATACATTGATGTCCAGATTCAATACCGCATCATGGCTCGTCAAAATGGTGTACATGGAGAGTGGGACGAATTATGCCGATGTGGTTAATAGCTGTTTGTCTTGGTCTGGCCTATGTCTCGAGGAAAGGTTTGAGGAGCGTGTCTTTGACACTATCGTTTCTCCGTTGCTGAGAGACTTGGGTAATTTTGAGGGATTAGCATAATACAAGCACGACTTGAATGTACATTTGCATGATTTTCTGTGCTCTCTCGATGCACGATCAGCGCCTAGCCGCGACGGAAATTATATCTGTCTATAAACCGCGAAAAGCCTCCATTGCTCACGCTATTGATACAAAGCGGCCGTAGCTAACATATGAGAGCTTTAACTGACAGCGGAGTCCATTCCATAGTGGTACCTAGATACTCCTAGGACATTGTACAAAGGTGTAGTATCAAAAGGGAGTGATAATCGCGTCTCACGCGTTTCCCCTCAATTTGGCGCTGAGTACGGACGCCGATAGCGGCACATGGGACAAATCTGGAACAACCATTTGATTCGTTTAGAATACTGACTAATTCACCGCCTTATTCCCCGCCTCTTTCTCACTTGGACAATATCAGACCGTTTTTAGCGGTCTGTTTTAGGTGGCTTTATTAGATTTCTTTTCGTTGGGTTTATTTTCGGGAGGTGTCTTTATAGATGTTTTCTAGGTGTCTCTTTTGGATATCCTAGTGGGGTCTCTTTATGAAGTATTTTCCGCCCCGTCTCAATGTTGTGGCTAAAAGGATGATTGGAAATGGATAATCGAAAATGATAGAACAACGGTGAAGAGCATAATTCCTGTAAAACAACTTTTTACTATAAACATTCAATTTTTGGAGTATTAGGATAGATACAACTAGACGGATAACTAAGATGTTGATATACTCAATAATTTTCTGCCGGATGAAAGCGACGATTCAACCAATCAAATTCCCGGTGTCTGATATGCCGCTATAGTCCGCCGTAGCCAGGTGTCCCCATTGTCTCAGCTTCTCGAAACCGAGTGTTCTTTGTTTCAAAGACCAAAAAACCAATCCAACCCCAATTCAACATTTCACCTCGAACTGAACCGCAGACACCTTTGCCCGGAGAGCTGAAATCGCGCAATAACGCGTCGCCTCCTGAATTCCCACCGGTCTGAGCAACGCGCCTCACATGAATACGGATCAGTTCTCTTTTTGACTTGAAGCTTTCAGCACCTCGATTTGGAGCCAACAACTGTCGATTGACAATTTATAATTGAAATCCTCCATCGTTTACCATGGCGGCTCAGGCCAAACCTGATTCCAGCTACGCGTCCAATCGCATGACGAAGAGCAATCCTCCGCCCAAGCATCTTTTGTCTACTTTCAATAGAACTGAGCCCGAAGAGACGAATGTCGATTTCGCGACGATCAATAAAGAGGCTGGCCAAACGAGTATCGAGGAAAAACCGGAGATTGATACTGACGCCGAGCCTTTGAGCTCCGATGAGGAGGCAGAAGGCTCCAAACTGGATGTTACTCAATCTAGCATTGAGAAAAAGGCAGAGGTTGATACGGATGCCGGACCTTTGAGCTCCGACCAAGAGAAAGTCGAAGACCCCTTGTCGGACATTGCTCAGCCTAGCATCGAGAACAAGCTAGAGATTGATACGGATGCCGAGCCTTTGAGTTCCGATGAAGAGGAAGCAGAAGGCTCCAAACTGGATGTTACTCAACCTAGCATTGAGAAAAAAACAGAGGTTGATACGGATGCCGGACCTTTAAGCTCCGACCAAGAGGAAGTCGGAGACCCCATGTCAGGCATTGCTCAGCCTAGCATCGAGAACAAGCTAGAGATTGATACGGATGCCGAGCCTTTGAGTTCCGATGAAGAGGAAGCAGAAGGCTCCAAACTGGATGTTACTCAACCTAGCATTGAGAAAAAAACAGAGGTTGATACGGATGCCGGACCTTTAAGCTCCGACCAAGAGGAAGTCGGAGACCCCATGTCAGGCATTGCTCAGCCTAGCATCGAGAACAAGCTAGAGATTTATACGGATGCCGAGCCTTTGAGCTCCGATGAAGAGGAAGCAGAAGGCCCCGACCCCGACCTGCATGTTACTCAACCTAGCATTGAGAAAAAAGCAGAGATTGTTACGGATGCCGAGCCTTTGAGTTCCGACCAAGAGGAGGTCGAAGACCCCATGTCAGACATTGCTCAGCCTAGCATCGAGAACAAGCTAGAGATTGATACAGACATCGAACCTCTCAGTTCCCCGCCTCTGAGCTCCCCGCCTCCCAGTTCCCCGCCTCTCAGCTGGAATGAAGAGGAATCGGAAGACCCGATTTCAAATGCTGCTCAGCCTAGCATCAAGAAAGGGTGGGACATCGACACCGATGCTGATCCTCTAAGCTCCGATGAAGAGCAAGTTAGCGATAGCGATGCTTCCCCATATCGCAAAGAGGTGAACTATACGACTACGACTTTGGAGGAGAAGTTGGCGGAAGCAAACAATAGGACATACAGTAGTCCACAAACCCATAGTCAAAACTCTCGCAAAGGCGAATTTTCGCGAAACCTCAGCGCTATGATGGGCTCTGATAGTGACGATCTATTTTCCTTCTCCTCGCAGAGTCACAAGCGGCGAAAGGCAACAAAATATGCATCTGTGTCCAAGACGAGCTATTTTAACAGGCCATCTTTCCCCCACGGCCGGTTGAGAAATCGAAAGAGCCGTCGCCAGTGAAGGAAGCCCCCAAAGAACCCGAGGAGACCTTTATTATGCCAAAGGATGTTGAAAGTTCGAGTTTCAGAGAACCTCGTGGCGGGGAAGACTCAAACTCCAGTTTTTCGCATGGTCCATACACGATGGAAGAATACGAAGCAATGTTGCTTGATGATGATTCACCTCTCTCATCCCCGACTTCTTCCACTTGTGAGCAAATGTCGCAGCTCGATAGATTCACAACGAAAGAGAAGCGCCAACCATCACCACCCCGCCCAGCCCTGTGCCCGATATGCCGTAAGGAAGTAGACTGGGCTTCGCTAGAACTATTCAGAGCAAAGCCGAAGCAACGTATTCGCGAACAGGTGATGTTCTGTGAATCACACAAACTCCGCAGTGCGGTGGACTTGTGGCGTGACCGAGGGTATCCCAATATTGATTGGGAAGGGTTTGAAGAGCGTATTCAGAGCTATTTCCCCGAACTCGAAAAACTACTTGTTCCTGGTGCTTTCTCTTATTACCGAAACATCCTTAGTACCTCTATCGCACCAGGGAAAGCGAGAAACTTCCGTGTGAGAGTGGATGATGACAAGACACTTGAGACGATGACATGTGGTTATTATGGTGGCAGGGGTGCAACCAAAATGTATGTGGTATATAACCCCTTGCTTGTCGAACTACACTAACAATACCTGTGTTCAATCTAGACTAGAAACAATCATCTGTCGGTTTTCTGTGGTTGTACGTCGCCTGGCGACAACGGATGAACTTATCAAGACGGCGGGCGTGGCTGGCTACACACAATCTGTCCTTGTGCCTGAGCTGGCTGTGCTCATGGTCAAAGATGACATGAAAGTTAACGACGAAGAGGCCCGTCGGATTATGAGGGAGAGTATGGACATTGGTGCAAGAGTCCATCCAGACCTCAATATTGTCCCGATACAGGAAGATGTCGAAGAATCATGATTGTGGGTTTACTTTCTTACATTCTATACCACGGGCACTATTTTGTTTCATCTCATTTTTGACTCGGACTTGTGTTTTATCTCTTTTTGCCCCCATTTCGAGGGTAATGCAGTTTTATCATCCCTGAGCGATTGTATATAGATAGATAGCCACTATGATACCACTCGTGTTTTGTCTTATATTGACTGGAATATCACTTATATTTATTCTCAATCGAAGACTCAATTATCGCACGATCGTTACCATTAGCGAGAAACCCCGAGCAACTCGCATAGATCGAGGATATCAACATCGGCCCAAAGAGGCAACTTGATGACGGGCTGACCCGCCCAGGCGTGAGGGGTAGATTTGTCAGCCGATAAGGTGATCGCTCGGTCGATGATACCATGCGGAGAAGCATTCCACCTGGACAAAGAGTAACGTGTTCCCTCTTCCCTCATCCGCACACATGATGAGAGAGAAAGACATGCGATATTCAGAGACCACACCTCTGCTGGAGGTCAATGTCGCTCCTCAGCGGCATAGATATCCGCACCATGCTCTTCGTCGAGCGTGTACTATCTCCCTTGCGGCCATACTTTCTGCGGCGACCCTTCTATTCCTACTTCCCACCGCTATCCTGCCTCGAGAGGGCGGCTCCATTTGGTCCTATCTCCCTGGTGCTCATCCAATCCCCCACGAAGCGTGGCCAGAGAGCTATGGTCTGCCCTACGAACAGCTCCAGCAGATCCTCCTCAATGTGCCTTCCGCAGATAAGGCCCGAGAGTGGAGCAGATACTATACCGCAGGCCCACACTTGGCAGGAAAGAACCTCTCCCAGGCGCTCTGGACTTTGGAAAAATGGAAGGAATTTGGCGTGGAGGATACCGGGCTCGCGACCTATGACATTTATCTTAACTACCCGCTCGAACACCGCCTGGCCCTCTTGAAGACCTCGGGTGATAAAACAGAAGTGACCTTCGAAGCTACATTGGAGGAGGATGTCCTCGAAGAAGATCCTACTACCGGCCTACCAGACCGTGTCCCATCGTTCCATGGCTACTCTGCTACCGGCAATGTGACCGCACAGTATGTGTATGTCAACTTTGGCACGTACCAGGACTTTGAAGACCTCGTAAATACCAACATCACCTTGGAGGGTAAGATTGCCATCGCCAAGTACGGTGGGATCTTCCGTGGTTTGAAGGTGAAGCGTGCACAGGAGCTTGGCATGGTCGGCGTAGTTATCTACAGTGATCCTCAGGAAGATGGTGAAATTACCGAGGAAAATGGGTATGAAGCCTATCCTAATGGACCTGCACGGAATCCCAGCGCTATTCAGAGAGGTAGCACTCAATTCCTTAGTAAGGCTTTCCCTCCAACCGTAATGGCACTGCAAGACTAACTTGAACAAGGTATCCTCCCTGGTGACCCCACAACCCCGGGATACGCATCTAAGCCTGGAGTTGAACGACAAGATCCGCACAACTCCATCCCTTCAATCCCATCTCTCCCAATATCGTACAAGGAGGTTCTGCCATTCTTGAAGGCGCTTAACGGTCACGGCCCCAAAGCGTCGGACTTCAACGAGTTCTGGCAGGGAGGCGGTCTCGGCTACAAGGGTGTGGAGTACAACATCGGACCATCTCCCGAGGATGTGGTGATCAACCTCCACAACCTCCAGGAGTATGTGACAACCCCACTTTGGAACGTTATCGGTACCATCAAGGGCCATATCCCCGATGAGGTTGTTATCCTCGGTAACCACCGTGACGCGTGGATTGCCGGTGGCGCAGGAGATCCTAACAGTGGATCCGCTGCTTTGAACGAAGTCGTCCGCAGCTTCGGCGAAGCTCTCAAGGCAGGATGGAAGCCATTGCGTACTGTTGTCTTTGCCAGCTGGGACGGCGAAGAGTACGGTCTTCTTGGCTCGACCGAGTGGGTGGAAGAATACCTCCCATGGCTCTCCAAGGCCAACATCGCCTATCTGAATGTCGATGTGGCTGCTGCGGGTACCAACTTCGCGCCTCGGGCCAGTCCCTTGCTGAACAAGGTCATCAATGATGTCACCGCTCTAGTGCTCTCCCCTAACCAGACCGTGCGGGGCCAGACAGTCCGTGATGTCTGGAATGGCAAGATCTCGACGATGGGAAGCGGCAGTGACTTCACTGCCTTCCAAGATTTCGCCGGTGTCGCCAGTCTCGACTTTGGCTTTGGTCGTGATAAGAATGACCCAGTCTACCACTACCACTCCAACTACGATAGCTTCGCATGGATGGAGAAGTACGGTGACAAGGACTTCCTCTACCACCAAGCTTGCACAAAGCTCTGGGCTCTGGCAGCGGCACAATTGGTAGAGTCTCCTCTTCTTGCACTTAACGCCACCGACTATTCTCTTGGCCTTGAATCCTACCTGGACCACATCAAGCCCGCGGCGGACAATCTCCCCGAGAAGACCCATTTCGACTTCGCGCCTCTAGATAGGGCCATTTTTGAGTTCCAGGAATCTGCGAAGGCTTTCGATGCTCATGCTGTAGACCTGAAGTCCCAACTTGGCGATGATGTACCTTGGTACAACTGGTGGAAGAAGGTGAGACTGTGGTTCCAGATTCGCGCCACCAATGCGAAGTACAAGGGTATTGAACGGGCTTTCTTGTACCAACCCGGTCTTGATGGCCGTGAATGGTTCAAGCATGTCGTCTTTGCCCCTGGTATTTGGACTGGTTACTCGGGAGCCACCTACCCTGGGCTGGTAGAGAGTCTTGAGGCCGGAGATGTAGAGAATGCCCAGGTATGTGTTTATTTACCAACCACTCCTGCGTTAAGTACAATTGCTAACTTATTTGTTTCTAGAAATGGAGCTCCATCATCCAGGAACGAATTGGTGCTGCTACCAAGTTGTTGCTGTAAATTGCTGGTAAACAGACTATCTCACCTCGGTGTGATAAAGCGTTATATATGCCGTAAAATTGGACTTGAGTATACGAATGCATCAATATGAACACATTCCATGAGTACAGACGTTGAAATCGTAGTCACATAGACATTTCCCAATACAAAATTATATAGTTCCCAGCATTAAATTATGCATGCACATTTACCCCAGACTTCGTCATCTGACTAATCAATTGCATGACCGAGCTCCATCTGCGTAACTTACATCTAACTATCTCTCCTAATCTCACCCTCTTCCTCTTGACGCATAATCCTCCAAAACCCCAGAAAAGAAGGGACAATTACCTCGAAATCTACAAAATGGTATGTCCCCACCATACACGCCTCCTATCCAATCAACCCACATATATCCTATACATACTAGAACCCAAAACTAACAATCCCAGTCCCCACCAACAACCTCCGCACTAGCCCTCTCCCTCCTAACAAGTCTGGGCGGAATAATCGGCTACACCCGCACCGGTTCTCTCCCCTCAATCATCGCCGGCGTCTCCGTCGGCCTCGTCTACCTCCTTTCATTCCTACGTCTGCGCGCCGGCCAATCCTACGGTGAGGAACTTGGTCTCCTGGCATCGGCTGTGCTGGGTGGGAGCTCTGTTCCGCGTGTGATTAAGACGGGTGGGAAGCCTGTTCCGTTGGCTTTGTCTGTGCTGGCTACTTATGGACTTTTTGTTTTTGGGGTTGCGTTTAGGGAGAGGAAGGTTTGATTGATTAGGATTGGAATGGGATTGGAATGGAAGTGAAAATGGAGAGATGATGGAATTGAACTGTTAGTTAGTTCGGGGTAAGTAGTACTTGTACGTCAATTGAATCTTTATCGGCCATTTGCGTGTATTGACTTTAGTTGCATGTTGTACCTATAGATTGGTGCTTTACGGATACAAGTATAACTAGATAAGATCACAGAAATCAAACATGTATTGGTAGATAACGAAAACAGCATGGGATTCCAGGCCATAACGCCCCGAGATGGGTTTCCTACCTCCAGAGAAACGCTAAAAACTTACATCGCCCGTAGATGGCATCATTTGCCGTCTCAGGCATTCATATCACACAGATTCCCCCAGGGTTATTCCTCCAGTGGGGGGTCAGAAGGGAGGATCAAAGGGCAAGGCACGTACTGTACGTAGGCTCGTCGAGGTGACTTTTCACGAGCCAATAGCTTAGACCTGGGCCTCCCTTCCCCGAACGGGCGACTCGAGGGAACCTCTCGAATCTTTTGAGTTTTTGATAATTTTTTTTGGTGAGTTTTTCGATTTTCTCCTTCAATATCTTTCAATATGTTCTTTTATCTGGCACACCAAACTCAAACAGTATCAACGTTTCCTGGGGTTGTCGGGAGAGAGAGAGATGGTAGGACGGGGGAGGACTCGCCAGTCTAGGATTTGGAATCAGAGCCACTGATGACAAGCCAAGATCCAGCCAGGAGAATGCTCATATGTAACTAGAAGTTTTGATGTGTCGACTTAGCTGGGTTCCGTAACTCCATCACTTGCAAATGCAGCAGGAAAAAACAAAGCAGAACTTAATGTGCCGGATCGATCACCGTGTCGGAATCTTGAATGGCGCCCACGATTGCGTTGCCGGGTAGCTCGCCGAGGACGGTTTGCGTGCTTTTGTCGGGAACGTACGCATATCGAGGTAGCTGCGCCATTTTCTCCTCCGGACTAAGCGTGTCATCATTGTAAACCAATCGGACTGCGGGCTTGGCCTTTTCTTTCTTGGGTTTGTTGATACCCTCTGTCTTGGATGCCATGTCATTGGCTGCGCCTGAAAGTTGACTGTCAACAGCCGTGGAGACATTCTCAGTTGGTTGAGCGCTGGATGCATTAGAGTAACCCGAAGTTGCGGGGGTGGGGGCCGGGACGTGTCCCATGTGCATTTGTTGCATTTCGTGCGCGTTAACTGAAGGCACAGCAAAGGCAGGACGCTGAGGAAGGTTTGAGGCGGCCGGTAGGCCCGTAAATCTGTTATCGGATGGTGGAGGTTGTTGCTGAAGGAAAGGAGGAGCCCCGTAGGAGACTGGTGGCTGTGCAGGAAGTCCGGCGGGGAATGGCGAGGGATACCCGGATGGGGTGTACGGCGAGGCACCAGGGACCTGTTGTCCACCAACTGGGGAGTAGCTTGAATAGACAGGACTGCCAGTTTGCGAGAAATGAGGTGTCACACCAGCGGGGGGCCCACCGTAGGGCTGAGGGTAAGAATATTGCGGAGTGGCTGCGACCTGAGGGGATGGCGCCTAGAAACAACTGTTAGTTCTCAAATCACTTCACATTGAATAACAGGATACGACTTACGTATCCACCAGGTGTTGATGTAGACGGAACGGCACTAGAGGGTGTCACGTCGCCGCTGCTACCTCCGGCAAGCGCCTCCGCACGTCTGGCCTTGTGCTCAGCCAGTCGCTTTTTAAGGTCTGAGACAGGTTCGAGCTTGGGCTTCTTCGCCGGTTGGCCGCCAGAAGAGACGCCAGTTGGAGGATTGCCTGTCGCATGCTGGCGATCTAGCTCGGCCTGCTGAAATTGTGAAGCGACACGCTGCTGATGGGCCTTGAGGACATCCGCGGGGATACCCTCCATACCGAAGATTTCAATATCAACACCCATACGGTTCGGCAGCGCATTGTGGACCTGAGTCAATTGCTCCTTATGGACTTGGCTCAAGTGCACAGATAGACCTAGTGACACAAGTCATCAGTACATGCGCCCATCTTATCTAGATGAAATGCAACTTACCTCCGGCAGTATTCAGTCTGCGATTGCAGTTGTCACACTTGAAATGCTTAGCTTTCTGATGAGAGATGAGGATCTTCAGGTCGTCAAAGTCACGTTCGCAGTAGTAGCACCATGGACGATCGAGTAGTTCCTCGAGAGAGGGACCGCGTCTTTTTTACCCATTGTAGCGTCGATAGAGACAAACAATAATTTGAAAAACCAGAAAGGTGCGTGGGGTTGTGAAAGAGAAGGATATTTGTTTAGGAGTGTGTCGCAGATCGAAGAAGCTCGCCATAATGGATGAGACCCAGCCTACATCACGTGAGTGACACGTGACTGTCTCTAGATGAAGTATGAAGTTAGTGAGTTGAAAAAAAAGATTTTGAAGCGGTTGTAGGAGTTTTTATCTTTTTTTTGCTTGTATCTGGCAAAGGATTCCTGTTAATTTGTCTGCTGCAGCAAAATTTCCTCACTTGTATTCCATTTCATTGTCTGGCTACCTTTTGTGAGAATGCCCTTTATACTAGTTTCTTGGTAGTCTTTTTTCTATATATTCCCCTATATATTCCCCCATTATTGATTGGCATTGGCCACAAAATGTAGAAACATATGACATAGACAGCGAAAAAGGTATAAAATGTGCAACTGATTTATAACATGGGTCTACCGAGTCTAAAATTCAACATACGATCTACAACCTTGGAAACAAGTGTGTACAAGCTAATAACTACGTATTGAGAAGAGGAAAAAAAATTTTGCAACTTGAATTTGCGCCTTTAAAGTACATGTATTGGTGCCCTGGCAGTGTCGACACTGCCAGGGCACCGGTATCTTCGTAATGTATCTGATCATTGCATTCCCAGCCCACACCCCAGGGAGGTCTGGGACCACAGGGAGCCACCCCCACCCAGACTTATCGACCGCGGGCTCAGCCCAGTCACGAAAAGGGCCGAGCACCAAGCGGTCAAGATAAACCGGGGTGAGGGGGTTGTGATCCCATTCCAAACCCTGGGGTGGGCCGGGAATGCAATGATCAGTTGGTGTCGAGGCAATCCCCAGTCCCCTCTCTCTCACTTGTAAATGAAAAGTGAAATGAACATGAAGTAAGACAATAGCTAAAGTGAGAGAGAGGGAAACTGGAGATTGCCTCGACGAAGCCGGCCCGCCCTCAATGGCGTGGGTCCCGCGGGTTATGACCCGGGAGGGGACCCATCCCGTACTGGACGTACGGGAATGGGGCGTACTGGGGCGGCATGGGTTGCCCCAGTTGCGCCATAGGCGCAACAGGCGCAGCAGCAGCAGCGAAAGGGTTCACTGGGCCGGGGCCGTAGTGAGAGACCACTCCCATGGGAGGGAGAGTGGGAGGCATGGGCTGCTGCTGCTGCGCCTGTACGCCTGCCATTGAGGGCAGGCCGGTGGGCCCCTTGGGGGCGAGGTTGCCAGCAAGTGGTGTCAGCGAGGGTGACCGCTTGCTGCGGCCGGTGGGCTTGGGGACCTCGTCGGCGGCGCCGTCGACGGTCCGGTCCTGCTCGATTTGGGCCTTGGATCGCTTTGGGTTTCGAATGCGTCCTTCCCGGTTGAACCGGTCCCAGTGATCGAGCATCGCCTTGGTCCTCTTTGGGTTCTTCGAATTGGCGATCTTCTGCCGCCTGGCCTCCTCAATTGCCTCCGCAGAGAGAGCCTCCTTCTTGGCCGATGTCGGAGCGGATTCGACAGGGCTTTCGGTGGCCACAGGCTCGACGGCCTGGAAGGAGGTCTCTGCTGGAGGGAGCGATGAGGAGGCCAGGCTGCTAGCGCCACGTCGACCCCGGCCCCGAACTGAGGGTTGGGTTGGGGCAGGGGTGACTTCGAAGGTAGCCCGGGAGGAACCAAGGCGACCAAGCCCACCACGGCCGCGTCCGCGGCCACGGCCACGGCCAGGGCCAAAGCCTCGGCGAGAGTTAGTGTCAGAGTGAGTTGATTCGGCAGCGACGGTTTTGCCGCCGCGGCCTCGGGTGCGTCGCTTTGCGGGATGGTTGTCTTCATCGGTTTCATCACCATCCGCACTCTCGTTCTGAGTGTCTTCTGCATCGGTGGTTTTGGTTGGTGCTTCAACCTCTGCGGCCTTGCGTTTCCGAGTGACTTTTGGCACAAGTGGCTCGCGTCGAGGTTCATACATCTGAGGGTGATATTCAACGCCATGTTTCTTCATGGCTGGCCACCCATCAGGGTTAAGATCACCAGTCTCCTTCTTCTTCGCAATCATCTTTCTGGCTTGCGCGGGAGTTGGGACAAAGCCTCCCTGCACGAAGGGATCCTGCTGTGTGCGGATGGGCGCGAGTGGTGTGTTGGTCGAGAAATAATTGTGTTTGTAGCCATAGAGCATGGCTTCTTTCTTGTCCTCGAAGTCAGCCTTGTCCTCATTGGCGTGAGCCAGTGGGGCTCCGCCCTTCTTCTTGTGGCCCTGCATTTGATGTCGCTTTGTTTGATATGAGGGTTCATCCCGTTTGTGTCGATGCGCTTTGAGGTAGAGGTCATCGAGGGCCAGGTATTCATCTTGAAATGACTTCAAAACAAAAGCGGCGGTCTGTGTAAGTGCGTAGAGTTCGTCTGGGGTGTATTTTTCGGGATTGCGGAGCATGTTGACAAGTTCGTCGATTTCCTGAGCCTGTACTTCGAGGAACTGCCCTCTGTCGACTTTGGGCTTCTTGTATGGAAGGGGGTGGAAGGCTGGGTCAGGAGCATCACGTTTCTTGGTCTTGGAAGGGTCGTGGAAAGCATTGTCCCAACTAGATTCACACTTGGCAGCTTCCTGGTCGTAGTTGGGGGAGAATTTGTTGGCATCATGAACGTTCCAGAAGCGGTCAAGGCGGTTTTTAACATCTGGTCGTCGCCACTCGGCCTCGCGGGCACGATATTCTTCGGGATATCCAGTGCGCGGGTTGGAGAGCCAGTCCAACAGGTCACGTTTCGTTTCAGGCATGTGGCTGACATTGTCTTGGATTGCGGTTGGCAGGGTGCCATTGTTGTCGTCAGTGGTCAGTTCCACTGTGATCTCTTCGCCATCTTCATCTTGAGCCTCACCATCTTCTGGCTTGGCAACTTGAATTATGGCCTCGTCTTGTTCAATGGCGTCGTCATCTTGGAGATCGCCATTCTCGTCGTAAGTCTCATCAGCGCCCTCGTCGGCGAGATCTTCGGCGCCATCGTCGGCACCATCATACCCAGAAAAGTTGATAGATTTCGGGTGAGCTTCGTTGATATGATCATTCAGAACATCTTCTTCAGAGATGTCTGCGTCATTTGGGAGCATCAAAAGCTTCCCACACCAGTCACACTTGAGCCGTCGAGGGATGGGCTCCGGGGACTGAGAGATTTGGGTAGAAGTAGATTGGGGACGAAAGGGTTCAGAAAATTGACGACGCAGCGGGGAGTCCTGGCTGTCACCAATATCCGAAGAAGCATTGTCTCCATCCAAATCGGCCCTTGGGATGGGGGCCATTTTGGCGGAAATGGACGGAGAAAAAGAAAAGAAACGAAGAACAAGAGGGGGTATGAGAGTTTCAATGAACAGGGAAAAAAAAAGAAGTAAAAAAGAAATGGAGAATGAAGAATGTCAAGAAAGAATCTGTATAGATGGTCAGCGTTGGTTCGCTTGCGGGTGCCAAGACGCCAGTAAACCGCAGTGCAATCCCGCGATTCCAAGGGCCCAGACACGAGGCATGGACCAGCGCGAACACAAGAATCGCAAGACATTGTAAACCCAGTAAACGCGACATGTGACATGAGAAAAGCCATGAGACATAAGACACGATCGGGCAAAAATGCATGGATCAAGATCTGACCGGGAACCTTGGGAAGTACACTGCGAAACTGTGCCCATACAAGAAGAAAGAAAAAAAAAGTAGAAAAGACGCGACACTTACCATGAGATGTTTAAAGTCGAGTAGAATCCTTGTGGATAGGAGAGACACGAGTCACAGCCAATGACTGCTGACTGTTAGTGAGTGCTGCAAAGAAAGGTGCAGGGTGGGCATGAGTGGCTGCCAGGGATGTGTACTTACTTATCTGACTGGAGAAGGCTGGGTAGGTGACAGTCCACTTGGGGAGACAAGGTGAAGTGGGATGAGAGAATGTGGAGAAGTGGAGAGAGGAAAAGATTTAGGAGACAGGTGAAATAGAGAAGATGTGAAAAGCAGGAGTAAGTCGCAAAGTTGTGTTTGGCGCGCAGATCTTGCGTCCCCGGGTAGTATGAAGAAAAAAAAACGATCTTCGTGGACGCGACACCGCGCAAAGAAGATGACACGAAAAGAAAGACAGTAGATGAAGGGAGATTGTAGAACAGAATGAGCAATGAAGTAGAAAATAAATCGGAAGGTGAAATGGGTTTTGGATGATGAGGTTGAGAAGAGATTGAGGTCGAGAGAGAGATAGTTTTGTAGTTTCATAGGCAGTGGAAACCCCGTCCGGGCCCGACCAATCAGAGGTCTCGTATCTACTAGCCACATTCGACTACATTGAGGAAAGGGGGTTTGGGGATTTGGATTGATCACTATTCATCACAATTCATTGAGGATTTTATTGATTCTCTACATTCTATTGATCGTCAATTGTCCTATGATCTTATTGTTTTTTTGTATTGTCACTTATTCTGGTACAAACCTTTTGTTTTTCATGCGTCACATGATATGTACTTTGGAGTCGAACAATAGCCTGTCTCCTCAATAGCTGGCTATTGAGGTAGGCAGCTGCACTGGAATAAAGGTTTGGAGACACCCCATGAGACCAAGTGCCATGCGCTTACCTTCCAGGGAACCCTTCGTCAACCGTCTCATGGACTCGACTACATCTATTCTACACTCATCACGGGCAAGCGACAGGAAACCGAATGCCAGATATTTGGATCATATTAGATAACTAGCACCCGGATCGCATGTGTATGTCCATGGGTGTCTACCCTTGGTCCCTCTGGTCTCCATGGTCCTGTTTCACAAGGAACGGAGTGGCGCCTATCATCATTAGGATATATAGACTAGAATATACATTGTCACCTCTTACTACATTATCTCTACTTATAGTTACGTACCATAAGTCCTGCACATGTACCTCCCCCGCCAATTGTCCCCTCGTATACCAAGTCACAAGTAGGGGCAGTGGACATGCCAAACCCAAACCAGCTATAGATACCAATGAAAAACTGTTTAACTCCAGCTTCTCGTGGTCTATAGCATCAAGTATGGTGCCATTCTAGCCGAGAATAACCCTTGTAGTAACCGCCTCGCCACTAGCAAGACTAGCCGCTCATGTCTCCATCACCAAATAACATCCCATAACCCTCCGGGCCTTGTCGGATAGAAACTCCATCCTAAATTTATCTACCTTCACAAGTGTTATCTAGATCATAAGTTGGCTGGTTGGGCAAGGTACGTTGTCGCGTTCTTCATAACGCCATCCTATACTTCCTGAGCATAGTTGGTCTCAATTTGTTACACATTGGGTTTCTTTAGAACAAAGTGAAGCCTCACAATAAACATCTGACTTCTATTTAACAATGTTGAATCTCAACTGACAAAAATAAGAGTAAGAAAGAACGATATAAAAAGGAGGGTAAAAGCGGCAGCCAAAAAGCCTTGATAGGAAATATACCACAAGTGGATCCCGGGGTCGCCCCAATTTTCCTCGAACGTTCGTTCCTTCGACCCGTCAATGCCGAGGGTCACTCCAGAATAATTTTTAGTATTCTAGTGCACAGTCGTGTATTTTGTATTGTTTCTGTATTAACCTGATATAATCTAGAACATCTTAGTTGGGGCTGGTTCATTGCTTTTTTTTTTTTTTTTTTAAAAAAAAAAAAGTATATGTTGACAGAGTCAAAGTGAGACCCCAAAGAAGCTTCGCGGAAAAGCACTAGCAATGAGATATGCTCATACTCCAGTACAAATCGTAGTAAATGTCAAACATAAGAAGCGTAATAGTAGATACATACATACAAGGTAGCACAAAATGCCTAGAAACATACGGCATACTGCAGGGACTATATAAATTCTGCACAAGAATCGAAGCAATGTCGCACAAGAGCAGTGTTTATCGAGAAATAATAGTCCACTGTTTGTTTGAATTCTTGATGGCGGTGGGTATGCCATACGGAATCACGACTCACTCACGGTAACCGCGGCCCAGACTAATACCTAGGTAGCATCCCAAGCACAGTTTATTTTTTGGGCTGATCTGCCTATTGAAACTTACATGGCTTTTGCGGCGAGTATTGGAGGCTGTGCCGACTATAAATCATACGAACTCTCTTGTCTACTTACTCTTGCTTTGCATTTGGGTAGCACTATTGGATACACCCCGAAAAGTAGATTTGAATCCTGTATATGATTTTTATCCTTTATAAAATACCCCCTGCTTCAAATTTCGTAGAACATAATGTCAACTTGGCAAGCCCAAGGAGCCCAAGCTAGATAGGCTCGTCAGGCGGCTACCGGGGAAGTGTCACAGAACATTTACTAAAAGGCGTAGTAGATTGAACCCTCACATCATCTAGGTCAAATTTCCATGCCTTTGCAGCTCGAGTATCTGGCTGGTATTCGACATGAGATTGCCATTGCAACATACTTCCACCGACGTTGTTCTGAAGATAAAGGTAGAACCGGTAATAGCAACCCATATGAAACTCTTTCAAGCAGGGCATACGTTGGGTTGCATAACCTACCGATATGAGAAGCCGGTGGAATTGTTCTTCGTCTATCACTGATCCTCCACACTTGCCATTCTCGATCCTGGCTCGGTGCGCGGTGTGAGTGCAAATCCATTTCCCTAGTTGATTGTCTTGCTTTTAGTGGCTATAGATATACCGACGGAAAGGAGATATTCCTTACCAGAAGGAAGCCAGGGAGGCACATCCTCAATTTCCAATGTTTTCAAGTAGGGCCATTGCAAGGAGCCTATAATAGGCTGGCCTTCTTCATCCAAAGGACACAGGAAGTCAAATGGAAGACTGTTTCTATTTAACTTCAATTCCCGAAGTTGATTGCTGAGATTTCGTAAATTGATAGTCATACTATCAATCCCCAAAGGGATGACATTTAGTGCAGGCATACTCAGTTCCCACGGGCCATCCGCCGTGCCATTATAACGAAACACTCTTAGACTGCAAGGAATACTGCCGAGCAAGGAACCCAGCACTACATAACCGTTAGTAAAGCATGCCTGGGCGAAAAGGCATGGAAATAACGACATAGCTTACATGCTCGACGTTCTTGTATATACTGCAAGTAATCCGGACGGACCCATTCGTTGAGATCTAGTTCCAGCTCAGTGAGGGTTGGGCAATGCTTGATGATGGTCTGTATTGCCCCAGTCCAGATTTGATGAAGATGATTTTTTGTTGTGACCTCCGTTTGTCACGGCGAGGGTATCAATACACGGAACGTGTACTAGATATAGCTCGGGCATATTATTGGTAAAGCGTGCCCGATATGGGGGGATGGGAATATTGTGCATTCCTGTGTAGCGATCAAAAGAACGATACGCACTGGCGGTAGGATAGTGCTCGGCACCTGGTTCCATTATAGGCCACATATTGTGTCGAGATTCTCGAAGCCCTAGGTGCAAGCTGAGATGGCAACGCTGGTTCCACGAATGAAGCGTTTGGAAAAGGTCAAGTATAGCCGTTTGGAAAGCGAAATCATTGACCTTCCTTACTTGGTTGTCTATGCTATAATCCGAGTTTTTACTTGTGGTCCAGTCCAGTAGTTTGCAGGGGACAATGATGTCGTACTCTAGCATTCGAATCCAGTTTCGCCGTATGAAACAACTGCCGGATGTGAGTTTTTGGAAATGTGTTAAGGAAATTCCACGTCGTCCTTTTTCTTTATGGTAGCCGTCACTATAGACAGCGAGATTGTTAAATACCAGGGGCTCAAGAGCTGCCTTCCAATGGCGACACACATGAGTGCATGGAAGCAAAGAAACCCTGTCAGTCCGCAGATGTGTTGCAATCTCGAATAGCAGTTCCAGGGTAGGGATGCCGCCATTACGCTAAGGCGCCTAGATCACCTGGGCGCAACACTGAGAGATTGATTGAACTAGGGCGACCTTTTTTTTTAGAAAAGAAAGGAACCACATGGAGAAGAACAAGAACATCAGAACAGAGAAACAAAGAGAAAAGAAGGAAGTTGTATGTTACTTTATAATTGAATGCTTGGCGCTACGTTACTTGAATGTATCACATTCTGTTTAAATGTGATGGATCATCACGAGAATTGGGCTACGGGACCTCTAATTGCGCCTAAGTAACTATCAAGCTAGAAGATCCTATTAATAAAAGGGCCGGTAAATCTTCTGAAACCAGTCTGTTTTGCCAGAAAGCTTGTAAACACCTACAGCTCAGTGAAGGTGGTTCTTCTCGCCAACATCCAAAGCCACCAAAAAGCGACTAACACAATTATAAGCCGCAATCGTAGCGGTAATCTCAACAACCTCCCGTTCATTAAAGCACCCCTTCAGCTCCGCAAAAACCTCATCAGGCACCGTAACCGTCTTAGTCATAGCATCGGTATACTTCAACACAGCCCTCTGGTCAGCACTCAAGACTAACGATGCAGCCTCATTCGAGAAGTCTGCCTGAGCATCTCCAACAAACTTCAATGCTTCTGCGCTCAATCCACCTTCCTCAAGTAGAGGTGCATGTTGTTCCCACTCGAACAGGGCGCCGTTGACCACTGCGACGCGGCAGATTGCTAGTTCACGGACAACGGTTGTGAGGGTGGTTCGGGTGCGGATTGCACCAATAAATGAGTTCCAGCCTTCTGTGACTGGGTAGGAGTGTAGGAGGGCTAGGTCGAGGGGGAGGAGCGGGTTTGGGGCTCGGCGGGCTTGGACGCTGGCTAGGATTCTGGCTTCGTCTGGTGTGCTAGTTGCTGGAGGGTTTGCAATGTATGGGAGACGCATGATCGGTGGTATGCAAAGGTTGCAGGTGAGCTTAATTGGAAGTTGGTTCGTTCAATGGCTGGATTTAAGTGGAATCTGGGATCTGGGGTTTGATGTCAGTTGAGGTATGAGTCGATAGGCTGTGCTTTGGAGCAGACAGCTGCTTTAAACGAGAGGCAGGTATTCGGTACCTGATTTAAAGCTGCAAGATACTATTCTTATTTTTTTTTAGCCAAAGGGGAACTGGACTCTATACGGGGAATGAGAAACTATTTATCGGCAACCCCGCGTGGGTCCAGATCGAGCGGATAAGTCAAAGCCGCGGGAGTCGGGTTTGCACTTCCGAGTTGCTTCCGTAGGTTTGGTTTGATTGTGATTGACATTCCAGGTATGGACTTGTAAGGAGCAAATGTGAAGATGTGAAGATGTGAAAACAGTGAAGACAGTGACATTGTATACAAGGGTCCTCTGTACTGTGCGGGGTGACACATTTAAATTCAAGGCCCAGGTGGTCCAAAATCCAATATGTCCAAGGCTTGTATTTCCCCTAAGAATCGAATAAAAATATTCCAATCAAAGAATTAAAGCTCTCTCTCCATCTGCTTAACTAAATTTGACTTTCATCAAGCATCTGCAGTCAGTGCTGTTGGTCTTGGCACATGATCTCCACAAGTTCAGAAGCTCCCACGGTGTCGTCACCTCTCCTGAACATTGTTCCCCCCCAAACAAACATGCCTCCAAAGGGACCCAAACCCACCAGTGACGAGCTTCTAGCTCAGTTTGACAACCTAGGTCTTGACAAATCCGGCAACAAAGTATCTAAAGCTATCACATCCGACAATGCCAAGGGCGGGCAGGAGGATATCCTGGCCGAGCTGGATCACCTAGCCACACAGCGTCCAGCCAGTGGACCGGGTACTCCGCGCCTGTCTTCCGATAAGCCCAGGTCATCTACACGATCTCCCCGCCCGAGTGCGACCATCGACCGACCGACCGAGGACAAGGCGCCGGTCCGCCAGTCTGAGGAGACCAGCCGGTCTTCACGCCCAGAAACCAAATCAGAACAGCCCAAGGCTGAGCTTGAGAATGTCCCCGCGCAGCAATCAGCCGAGGAGGGTGCCGGCTGGTGGGGTGGATGGTCGGGAGGCCTGTTCGCGACGGCCACCGCGGCTATGAAACAGGCTGAGGCGGCTGTCAAGGAGATTCAGAATAACGAGGAGGCTCAGAAGTGGGCTCAGCAGGTGAAGGGCAATGTTGGAGCTCTTCGTGATCTTGGTATGGATCTTTCTACTCAAGATATGCTACTACGTGCAGACACCTAACTAGCATACACAGGGGGTGAGCTTCGAGACAGGGCAATCCCGACATTCACCAACCTCATCCACACACTCGCCCCTCCCATTTCTTCGCATGAACGTCTACAAATTCACGTGACTCACGACATGTCCGGGTACCCGGGCATCGACCCTCTAGTCTATGCGGTGTTCTCGCGAGTGATGTCTCAAGTCGAGGGCGGAGACCTATTGGTGATCCAGCGGGGTCAGGAGTCGTCCCCGAAGCGCGGGCTCGATGTTACCGGCTACATGACCAGTGCCGGCTGGAATGACGGGCCCTGGTGGCGGACGGTTACACCTGGACAACCGCGGAGCATCTCTTCCGTGCGAGGCACCGTGGAGGGCTCCAAGCTCGCACGGGCCAGCGCCGAGTCCTATGCCACCGAGTACTTCTCGTCCCGTGGCGGAGTTGAAGAGGCCGCGAAGCACGCTTCGGAAGTCCTGAGTGAATCGAACCCAGTCCGCAGCAGCGATATCTTCTTGGCTATCCAGGCTATCAGCCAGACGACTTCCAAGGACCTCTTCCAGGCCGGTGCGACTGGCGAGAAGGCTACCGAGGGAGTTGTGGAAGCTGACACGCAAGAGGAGGAGATCTCCTTCGCGCTGTACCTCCACGACCCCATCCATGGCATTGCCTTCCACGCCATCTCTCAGAGTATTCCGCAGACATGGATTGAATGGCTCGATGCTTCGGTACCAGCCCCTGAGAATCCCGAGGCCGAGGATACGAATGTCCAGCGTATTGTGGTGCCCGATGCCATTGCTGAGGTCATCGAGAGTGGAGGTGTCGACCCCCGCGAGTGGGTCTCGGAGTGGATTGAGGAGACCCTCTCTTTGAGTGCTGGTATTATCGCGCAGCGATACGTGGCTCGACGAATGGGCGTGGGTGAGGGAGGTATCAGCAAGGGCAAGATGCGGGCTGAGCAGGCATCAACTGTGGATAGCGGTGCAGGCGAAGCTGCGCGTGCGCTCTAGGACTGCTGTGATCTTTTATACCGAGCTCAAGAGCTGACGCTCTTATTCCAGCATCTCCTGTCGTTTGTGATACACCCGCACTAGCTATTTCTATTTCTATATTTTGTTTCAGTTGTTACACCAGGATTTTCAGTAGCGAGAATAACAGCAAATGACCATTATCGATTTCATCAAAGGTTATACACTCTGCACAAAGTGTGTTTTCGTATACATCCCAAAAGACATGACAAGGAAAGGAGTTTTTACACGAAGTATCATTTTAACGGCCTTCGTATACACCTAAAAAGAAATTTAAAACAACCACCAAAGAGATATGACAAAGTCGCATAAGCAGTCGACTATTTTTGTCATTTCATAAAAAAAAAAAAAAAAAAAAAAGATCGTGTATGTTGTATGTAAACGGCGGATCTATGAATTACTATATCGAGTTAGCTTTGCCTTTTTAGGTTTAGTGTCATGATACGCCGTCACATAACTACCTACAATATATGTAGTTAATTGCTTCCGAAAAAGTCTTTAGTGAAAAGGAAATGAAGAAATCTTAGAAGAAAACAAGTTGGGTCTGCGACGCTAAGCTTCCGCAGTCATGTCAGAATCCCTCTCCAGTCAATAACTAGATCTTGACGGCTCTGAGGCGCTAGTACCTGTGCCTATGAATATGAATACAAAGTCTTAGAGCTTGTGGCGCTGTCTCTCAACATTGTTTTAGGGGCTTGTCACGTGGCATTAAGGAAGTCACATGCGGTGTGGTATCACATGTCGAATTGTATCAGCTTAGAAATCGACCCCTATCCCACGTTCACACTTCTATGTATTTTTTCTATGTACTATACTCCGTACAATGTTCTTTAATGTAACTATGAGTTAGTTAACTAACTAACTATATAACTAACTATGGCTCCCTACATAGGTACAGTATTCCAAGTCACAAGAGAACCGTTGGAAGGTCACGTGACCTCCAGTGGTTGCTCCCAGTAATTTAGTCTCCACGTAGATAGTTCTTCTCTCCTTGCGCAATTACACAGTTTTCCAGTTTACCCACTGCTTCTCTCTAAGAAGAACTCTTTTAAGGGATTGGTCAAATACGTGCTAAAACGCTGCCTTTCGTCACAATTGCCTTGATGTCGCACAAGGATAACCTCCGTTTGCCTTCGCCCTCTACGCAAACCACATCAGTTCCATTCAATGACACGGCTTTAAATCGGTATTTTACACTCTGGGCCATCCGGCTGCTTAAGTCTATTAGGCCTCGGAAGGGAAGCGTTCTTATGTTGACAAACCGGTTGTGTGTCAAGTACGGTTCCCATGTGCATTTATCCGAGGCTTCCACAATGCGTTTCATATCGCAGAAAACGTCGATTCCAGTCCCAAGGGTTATATCTGCGTTCACACACTGTGACCAGACCTATATCCTGATGGAGAGAATTAAAGGGGATATGATTGGAGTTGGTTGGGTGCAACGAAATGAGGAATCAAAGGCTAAGCTGCTTTCAAAATTGAAGTCTATGATTCAAGAGATGCGAGAAATCCCGGCACCAGAGGGCACAAAAATAGCTTCTGTTGATGGCGGATCCATGTTTGACTGCCGATTACCCGGCAACTCCTTGCGTTTAGGTCCCTTTCATACCATCCAGGATTTTCATCGGCATTTACGAGAAGGTATCGAATTCGATCCTGGTTTTGATCCTGAGATTCAGGAGCTTATCAAACAGCAAGGCAAATCATGGCCATTAAAATTTACTCACGGCGACCTTAGCAGCCTCAATATACTGGTTCATGAGGAGAATATTGTCGGAATTATTGATTGGGAAACTTCTGGTTGGTATCCATCATATTGGGAATACACTACTGCCTACCAAGTCAATCCACGAAATCCTTTTTGGGTCAATGAGATCGATAAATTTCTTCTTCCGATGCCAGAAGAGCTAGCAATGGAACGCATTCGCCAGAAATATTTTGGAGATATTTGAGGCTATATGTCTTAAATAGTGATCTCCTTCCTCTCAATCAGGTCATAGGTTGGGACTTTGGTTGTGTCAAAGTTCCCTTGGCCATCAAATCGATGCTGATATTTCTTGCTTTGGCAAAACGCCATCGCCTCGCTGCGTACCTTTTCCCATTCAATGACATTCGTGCCTAAGGCTTTGCCGTCGGCCTTCAGCGCATCGAGCGCCTCTTTTACTTAGAATATACAGTTCCATCCTGCTTGGCCTTGTCTGATAGGTATACTGCGCAATATTTCCACCAATCGACTGCCATCCTCTACCTTTCCGATTATCACTCGAACAAGCAGCATGCTGGTGGCGAGAAGCAGGGATTCACGCTCCTCGAATTCCCATTCAACTACCCCCGGGGCTTTAAGCCTCTCCTTTGCGTGATAACGGACCCCCATTTTACCTTCCGTTTCAATTTTCGGTCCCACAATCAACGCCCAGTGATAGCTAGATGGATAATGTCAGATATATGCGTGCTAAAGGAGTAGTTACACAGTGAACCTACGTGTCTTCCTTGCCCGACATGGTAGGAGCACCTCCTCGCACATAGAGGGCAACGTGTAGGCGGTCTTTGTTAGAAGGCATTTGTGTGCGGCCGCTTCAATAGATTTTATTGAGAGGTATCGGTTTTGTATTATGATGGGTTCTCTGCGAATGTATTTATCTTTGAAACGAGTGAGCTTACAATATATTCAAAGTAGTTTATATACTCTTTAGCCTACACTTATGATCTTGTACAATAGCCGCTGTCAGATGTGACGTGAGGTGATAAGAAACTGCAGGGCCCTTGCAGACAGCGCCAATCTCTAAATAAAGAACAAGCCAATTTGGCTCGCACTAGTTAACTAACTGTACCTTATGACACATCCTCGAGAAATCCTGTTCTCGATGAGAGACTGCGGCGCTAGATCTTTAATTAGAAATCTTAGAAGGCTAAAGACGCTACCACGTTATGCCCTGAGGCTTACTTATCCTTAGTGCCTAGGAAATCGAGACAACTCCGGCTCAACTTATAGTCTGAACCTTATTCAATCACAGCACAAACTGGTAAGAACGGCTGCGGAACTTCTGGAGTCTCCATCCTCCCAATAAGTCTATTCCTGCATGTTTGCCTGAGGAGCTAACGTTTCATGTTCCGAGGATGGCTTGCTCAGACCTCCATTTAGCGGGAACTTTCAGATATACTCAGCCCCAGTAATAGGTGAATTCAAGGAGACCTAGCGCAGCCCTGCTATGGTGAGATTTAGCACTATACTGGATCTTAATATCCTGGCGGGTAGTGAATATAGTGCGAAGTATAGTAGGTGTATTTTGTATGCATCTCTAAAACTAGCATATGAAGATGGAAAACCAAAGAAAACCAGGAGACAAACAGGAAAAGCTCAAGGCAAGGGTTTATAATGAACATTAGTCAAGTTGTAAGTCCGGTGCGATACACGATACACGGTTAAGGGGCAGCTGGACGTCCAAAGTTACTTACGGGTGGAAAGGCAGCCGTTTTCTGGCCTCAAAAGCGGTCATTTTCGGCGTCAATCTCACAGGTCCTCATATTCTAGTTGTAATTCCCGTATATGTACAAAACGGACCGGTCTTCCCATAAATCACCATATTATGCATTTCCGAAAACCATTCAATGGCGGGTATCGTAGGATCATCCAAAGCATTTCAGAATATGTTCAAGAACTCATTCAAGCATCAATGTCCAGCGGCCCTTCAAGACCGGGGACATGCCAGAAGTTGGCTCGGAGGGCAGTCACACTAAATCACAGCATTAGTATATCCGGTCCCAGCAGCGCAAAGCAAAAAAAAAAAAAAAAAAAAGAAAAGAAAAAGAAAAACCATATCTTACCTAGTTGACCCATTGAGCACGGTATGAGCATCCGTGCCAACCTCACTCTCCTGCAACGTCTTTTTCATATCCGACAAATCAGCAGACCACTTAAACTGACGCTGTCTGGAAGACGCAGGGACATGTCCATTAACAGCCGTGCCATTAGTCTCGCCATTGACATGAACACCGTTCACGCCATTCGCACCATTAAGCTTCTTCCCCGTCCCCTCCTCAGCATACAAACACCCTCTGGACCAATAATACGGCAAAGTGCGCGTATAAAGCACAGGCCTCTCCTCAACATCAAGAACCATAGGAACATTGATATTATAAAGCTCGACCCTCTCATCCCAATTCTCATAAAGATGCCGGACAACCCTAACAGCGAGTCTGGCCGCCGCCGCAATAATATCATCAGGCTGCGGGTCCTTGCTACCAAACGAGATAGCAATACCGCGCTTGCTACAAAACACCGCTTCCAGCGCACCGCCTACCGTCCCCGAGGACAGGTTGTAGATGGTGGAAGCATTGCGGCCGTGGTTCGGGCCCGAGATGACCAGGTCGATCGGCGCCCGCTCGCTAAATAGGTTGTACAGACCTAATTGCGTGCAGCTGGCTGGTGTGCCGTTGCGGATCACTACCCAATCATTCTCCGGGTCTGGGGATTCGAAGCTCTCGTCCCAGCTGCCGTCTGCGTTGAAGGCGTCTGGGTGGACGTAGCTGGCTGTTAGGGAGGCTTCGATTAAGTGGGCTTTTCCGATCCACGAGCGTGAGGCTGCGGGGATTGCTACGGAGACTTGGTGGCCGTTTGCTTTGAGGGCTTCGACTAGAGGCCGGACGTATGGTGAGAGTTTGGTGCTTGGGGGACCATCGTCGTTGACGACCTATTTTTGGGAATTGTTAGTTTATTTGTCTTGGCTTTTTCTTGGTTGGTTTTTCTTTTCTTTCTTCTTTGGGCTTTATCTACGTTTGTGCAACGTATTGCTCGGGCGTAAGGAAATTTGATAAAAATGCGATAACGAGGATGTGGAGTATCATGTGGTGATGATATTCCCCCGAGGAAGTATGGATCTATAAGCAGATCCTTGCAGGAAATGGCTTTCTATACTCCGTTTTCCGTACATTTTGCCAGGGGAGGGGAAAAAAAAGAAAAAAGAAAAGAAAATATTGCCGGTGATCTCACTTACCAGGATGTGCATGACGGGATTAAGCAGCGCCAAGGGCGTTATGGGTGAATATTCGGAGTTTCAATTTGGATCTTGATTTTGGTTTCCCCGGCGGTTTGGACGGTGATTTTTTATCTTGTTCTTTTCTATGTTTTTTTTTTTTTAAAAAAAGAGAACAAGAAAAGAAAGAAATATTTCTGCACCCCGGAAATACTCGGGGTGCAGGACACTTATACCTGGGGGAAATCAAGGTAAAGAATGAGCCATTGGCCACACCGAATTACACACCGGGGTGAAGCCGTTCAGGCTGCGGGGACGGTAATGGTAGGACCGAATGCAGCGTGCGGTGAACCAATTCGGGGTTCTTTCGGGGATGCTGACTATTGATTTTCAATTATTCGATATGTTGGTGAGTCTGGGGATTTCAAGGTTAATATGTTATGTGCTGTACAAGGCTGGAATAGTAAAGGTAGGATATATCATCCGGGATGTTAATACGTTGTAGTTCATTTAGTTATACCTAGGTAAATGCTATTCAATCTTACCACCTACTTTGTAGGTATATGGGCCCATTTATATAACTTAGTAATGGATATATCATGTGTTCCAAGGGTTTATATCATCAATGATATATTCTTTAGAGATAACAGTAAGCCATAAGGTATAGTTATAGTACAACATATATGCTCTTATACTTCTAGGGTTTTATATCAGAAGCTTAAAGCCGAAAAGGGAAGATGAGGTAATCAATTCTGCATGCCCCCCAGGTGTTACCCTGCCAAGTGTGTGCCAAGACAGTGCTGCAACCTACACGGTAGAACAAGGTCTGGATGGAAATTTCTATTTGAGGGTTCGACTGAATAATTGAGGGGGAGGATTACATTTTAATCTGCCTAATGCGTCTGCATTAAAACACAGGAACAAAAAACCCCCTCCCCCCAAGGTTCCTGGACCATTCATATCTCAGGGGCCCGCCACGTACATTTTTGATACATCGGTGGACCATCTGCTCTCGTAAGACGAAGTGAGACTGTGCCGGAGATCCTATCGGAGAAAGATATACAGCCCTTAATGAAGGAGTACAAACATATGTCCTATATTTTTCAATATGTATATCAATCTAGTTGGAATTTAAAGATTTAAATATACAACTTCCACCAAAAAATCTATTTACAACATACATTCATACCTCGTTGTAAATAAAAGGCCAAATACTAAAGTGGTCTGTGCCGGCAGCACGCTAAAGACGATCGCAGAAAATCTTGTGGTGGGGAATCCCGTTAGCCCTTCAACAATCCTCTGGCCCCTCAACTCTCTCCTCTTCAATTCACTACCAACTATATTATCCATTCGAATACTCCGAACACGTCGACACATCTTCGCCGTTTACTTATATAAACCACCATTCTGTCATCTACCTGAACCCGCAAAGTCTCAAAAAGCCAAGTCTTTTTGGGATCTTTGCTCAACGAGGTCGTCACCGCAACCTCACCCTCTCATTCTGTATGGACTGTGGAAGTACTGGGACCGCTGCGGGGATCGACCCCAAAATCTTGGACAATTGGCAAACTGAGGGCACCTTTTCTGTCGCCTCATGGGAACATCTTGGGTATGACCAACCACCCGAGTGGGACACCAGCCAGGAATCGAGTCAGTGTGATGCGGATATCGCGGACTTAGGCACCTTCCATGGCCCATTGGCTGGAGAATTCCGTCGTCTGGAGAACAGGTCCGGAAACCTTTTCCCCATGTGAAAAACCACGACGTCCGATGTCGATGTGGCTGACACTTGTTTGGTTATAGAAAGCACGATGTAGCACCCGAGAACTTGAACTACCCCGATGGCCTCGTCGAGGGCACTGCCAGTGGCACTCTTAGCCCCAAGACCATCCCATCTTCCGCCGACGAAAATTACCATTCCGACGAGGCTTGGCCACACTTTCAACTGTACAACTCAGTGGCCATGCCGATGGATGCATCTCTACTCTACCCCTACGCGAAAGGACCGAATCACTCGGATGGGGCCGTCATTGTCGATGACGTTGGAGAGATGCCTCACGGCGGTTTCTCCGATGTCCCGGTAGAAGGCATCATGTCGTTCCAGCAGATTCCGCAGTCCTTTCCCATGATCCCCGAGGAGTGGACTGAAATTCAACATGGCATTCCCGTGGACAATATGCCACCACCGCAAGAGTCCATGGGACTCTCAGTGGACGCACAGGAGAGCCCCAAGGATCACTCCCTGCGGGGGTTCCAGAATTCTATCAGATCGCTGGAATCGCGATGGCTGAATAGTCTGGAATCCCAACTGCCCACCCAGCAGATCACGCCGGTCTCTCAACCCGCTGGCCCGCTAAACGCACAAATCGGACAGGAGTTCCAATTCAAATCCGAAAACTCTTCCGTGTCGGGCGATTTGTCGGGAATATACGAGTGCTCCTACTCCGCCACTAGCGACGAGGCCCCTGCATTTGCGGATCGTCAGTTGGAAGACGACGATGTCCAGTGGAAGACCTCACCGCATGAATCCAGTTCACCTGAGGGGTCGCAGCCTGCGTTCAAGACCACTGCCTTCATGGTGAGCGAGGCCCCTGTGGAGTCTCTAGTATCCACTGTTCCTGCAAGATCGAGGGCTTCGTCGACCGCTGGCCAGCGTGCCGGTCGACCGGCACCACTTGCCATGCAGACCTCGGCTACAGTCAAGAAACGCAAGGCCAGAAACCCCGCTTCAATGGATCAGGGCATCACAAGGCCCCTGCAAATTGTCCAGGAGGATGGCCAAGGCGGCTCCATTGCGTCTGCGGACTTTGTCTCTCCCCACGTGGCGCCCGTCGTAAGGGCCCATTGAGTATGGTTGGACGGGCCAATGCAGGCCTGCGCCGGAAAAACAAGGATACTTGTGTCCAGTGTCGACTAAACAAGCGCAAGGTAAGGATTTCCACGTAAATTTTTGAATTTTCATAAAGCTAACGTGTCTGCAGTGCGACGGAAGCGCCCCTTGCGATGCTTGTCGCCCCACACTCCACGAGCAACCATGTGCTCGTGCATGCTTCTCCAGCATTGTCGAGTTTGGAACCTGCAACTACATCTGTAAGCATCCAGCAAACCTCCCCAAGGATTCTTCAAATTGACTGACCCTATCTAGCTCAACGAGCTGTCAACCACCCTACGATGGATGGTTCCAATCGAGTCCGGATGGCGATTCCATCTGAATTTGACCTCAGTCAACTCTTGTCTTTGCTCGCCGAGCGCCAGGGGCGGTTCAACATTCGCGCTAGCCAAGCTTGGGGCTCTCTCTACGTCCTTGACCTGGGAGAGACCTACAAGTTCCTGAAGACCCTGAGTGAGTACAACGGCAACTCGAAGTCCACTTTCCTCGAGTTCATCGACCGACGAATTGTGGACTCGAAGGACAAGTCCAAGAACTGGCTGTCCTGCGTTGCGGACTGTGACCCAATGAACCAAGCCTATGTAAGACTTCACTATCCTACATGCCAAGAGCGCAAAAGCTAACCAACCCCAGACCCTCCTCTCCCAGTGGAACAACATGCCAAGTCGCGCCAAATACAGCTTCGTGCCTCTCGACTCAACAGGCGAAGAACGAACAATGGACATCAACAGCCCAGAAGACCAACGCGAGATCCTCCTCGCAGCTCAACTCTCCCGAATCTTCTGCCGCATGCTCGAAGTCGAAGGCTTCCGCAAGCTCGAGCGCGACTTCTACAACATCAAGTGGAAGCAGATATCCCACGAGACGCATGTCCGCTTCCTCGGCGAACTCGGCCACATCCTGCTAACCCTGCGATGGCGCGTGAGCTGGTGGAAGCGGCTCGGCGACGGCGGTCAGACCCCCGACCCCACACAGCAGCACTACGTCGACCGCGTCGAGCTCCTCTGCCGCATTCTTTACGTCTACTACACCTGCGTGCTGGCGAAGCTGCCCTCCTGGTCGGCGGCGGATGTCCCCAAGGGCATCTGGTCGACATATGCGGACTCGGAGAATGCCGTGTGGGATGATTTCCCTTCGGACTCCAGTGATGGTGGCTTCAATGGCTGGATGGAGCGTGGCCAGGACCTGATTGAGCAGGCTGGCGTTCCAAGCCGCATCTCGAAGTTCTGAGATCGGGATGGCAGATCTGATCTGCGAATATGGTTTGGATGGTAACGGCATTGGAGTTAGAATTATAGATACCCTTTTTTTTGTTTATTTCTGTTTCGTTTATCTCCTTTTTCTCTTCGAGATTTCGTTGTTTCTATTGGATGCATCATGACTATTACATACAAGATCTGCCTTATGATTTGATGATTTTCCCGCATGTTTTATCCTATTCGGTTGGGGGTTTTTACAATTTGTACATAGAATTACTACTTACCGACATATAGTTATACACTGCTTCTCATCTTTACTTCATTCTTGTCCATCCCATACTGCCTACCTACCTTGCCCCTATCTAACTATATGCATAGGAAATATTACTATGTAGACCACCAAAACCAAAAAAAGACAATAGAAATAGGGTATCGATTTCATGCACTCATATAACGAGCTCTGTATAGACGAATTGCAAACACGATCGAATCAGACCAAAACATCTCAATCTTTAAAACATTGAATTCCCCACAACCGCAAATTCAAGTCGCCTTCTTAGGACCAGACTTCAATCCTGCATCCTTGCGAGCCAAAGTCCCATCCTTGCGAGCCGCATTCCGCTCCTTCTGCAGACGGTCCTTCTTTCCACCAGACAGTAGCTCGAGATGGCCTGCCTTTGTTGCCAGACTGCGTTCTGTCATTGAGACGAGGCCGGATGTGAGTTTCTAAGAGCGGTGTTAGTGATTTTTTGTCTTTCTTGTGCTTGTTCTTGTATCATAGAGCGCAGAGCACGAGTGCAATCTGCATCGAGGAGATGGAGACTCGGAAGCATATCGGTGCGTACCTTGGTCAGTTTCTTCTGCTTGATCAGGCCGGCTTTCTTGGGCGCGACGGAGCGGACACCGGGTCTTGTGGTCTTGGCGGGCCTGGTGAGTGGGTGTGTTAGTTTAGTTTTTTTTGGAGAATTTCTCCTGGGTAGACGGATGGGACTGTGTCTGTCGTCTGTAGTGGTTGTGGTTGTGGTTGTGGTTGTGGTTTTGCCTCTGAGTGGCACTTACTTCCTGCCTGGGCCGCCGGGACCGGCCTTTTTCAATGATCCTTGCACCATGGTTGTGTTGGGGTGGAGGTTGGTATGGAGGGAATATGTATGTAGATGGACACAAGAGAAAGACGTAGATGAATTTTGTAAAGTAGCACTGCCAGCAGCACGAAGTGATTCTGGGCTTTCTGTTTCTTTTTTCGGGGGGTTGCCGGAGGGAAAATTGCTTATCGGCTTATCTGGATCACGTGCGTTATGGGCCTGGGGCATGTATTTTCCGCTCCGAAGTATACAACAACTACGCATTTGGCTGAGGGATATAATTTTGGAGATGATGATGATAAAAAATGACCGATAAAGGGGAAAAAAGAGTATAAACACGAGAACGACTAGTCCAGGTAGTGGAAGATCTTTGGCACTTCTCTCATAGTACACAGGTGCAACCTGTTACCACTAGGCCACCTGCTGTTGGGGACACTAGTATTAGGTTGCACTTCCTTTAACTTATATTTTTCTTAAATATTCTGCTTTGTTTGTGTATCAAGCTGAGTGGGCGTGGTCTATACCCTAGACCCATGCATATGCATTAGAGGAATATGATGAAATTTATTCTAGAACTTATAATCCATCTCTAGGGCAGCGGGAAGTGTGTGGTCAATATATATGTTGGTAAATATATATGTTGGTATTTCTATGATGGATGACGGTGGCCTCAGGCCAGAACTACATGTCTGCTGTTTCAAGTCTCCAGGACTCTCGTACATGCAATTTGAAGGCTTTCAAGTTTCCTATTCTTCTATTAGGCACAACACATGTGATTTCATTCGATGGTTGCTAGGAAGATAAAGAAAACCACCAACCCAGCTAGACAGCACATAGCCCAAGTAAACACCAGAAAGAAGTAAGCGCATCTCTATGGTACCTGGGCATCCACGATATGCATAGTTGAACCAAACCTGTCCCTCAATTGGCTTTCTGAAGGAACCAGGGCATTGACTAGTATAACAAAGAGCTACAGTCTAGTGCACTTTGAACATGGAAAACTGTTATTCCAACAATCATGACTGTGATGGGGATATGGAAGATCGCGTATTTGATGAAGAATATTGGCGAGGTGATGGTGTAGACATTACTGGATTGGGTTATCCTGCATTCTGGAGCGGCATACTCTGTTGTCCAAATAATTTTTTGAGGACACTTTTCTTCAAATTTCCTTCTTATGGTTCCACTTCCATTGTTGTCTCTTGCTGTTGTTGTTGTTGTTTCCTGTTCATTGTTTGTCATAGTAGAATACTTTAATATCAATGTCCATGTTTATATTTTATATTTAATCTTTTAATTATGATCGAAAGCCTAAGTAATCAACAATGCCACACTAAAGATCATTTTGACCTGCGATATTAAGACGGTATACATGTGTACCCATCTCGCCACGCTTTAAACCCACCAAGAACAGAAGATGTCTACAATACATATAGGGATTCCTTCTTTTGATAGGCTGGTGGATGCTCAAATTTGACGGTTGCTGATGGAGTCTAGGGCTTGGATACGGTGCGGTGGGTTACGAACTTTGAAGGTGGCTAGCTAAATGAGACTGTTTTGGCATAGTCCGGCCATTCAGTTGTATGCTCTCTTAGGGGGACCTTGCTTGTGTTGGCATTGGATCGCAGTGGGAACTCGACTTGAGAAAATGAAAGGATCTCAAAGGATCTCTTGATTTGAGTTTTGAAATGCTATAGCTTGATAGATATTGTACATGATGCCACAAAAAAAAAAACGGTTACTCTCTCATCTTACCTCCAGTAAGTGCCTCGCCAAGCTTCTTAACACGCTCCTGAGAGACATCCCAGCGAACAGCCTCGTTGGCACGGGTCTTGTTGGCAAGGTTGAACACAGTCGGGGGGTTACCCAGGTTCCAGATGTTCTCGCCGGGCTGGTGGTCGTTGCGCCACGCCGGGTTCTCGCCCTCGGGGAATACACGGTCGATTTCAGCAGTGAGCTGCTCCTCAGTAGTGATGAAAGTGCGAGCATTCACATACAACGACTGGAGGTGCTCCTTCCGCTCAATCTCTTTTTGTGCCTGCTTGGCTTCCAGACGTGCCTGAGAGATCGTAAGGCGTTCCTCGCGGTTGGGGTCGGGCAAGACTGGCTGTTTGTGGGGCATCATCGCCTCGATGGTAGATGGCCGAGTGAGGCGCTCATCCTCACGCTGGGGTTGCTGAAGAATGCGGTCCCGCCGATTCTGACTCTCAAGACTGCGGCTGACAATCTTTGAATCCGAGGACCGTTTCCGCGAGTACAGGTCTCGCAGACCGTCCCGCAGGTTCTGTCTCCGCAGATCCGCCATCTTGTGCTTCCATTCCTGCTTCTCGGGGTTGCTGCTATTTGGGCTCACTACCCGTTCCGACTTGGGGAGTTGTGTGACTGCATTGAGATATTGTATCCGGGGCTTGTCCGCTCGGCGGGCCGGGAAGAGCTCGCGAGGCACGGGGAGAGTACCCCTGACGTGAGGCTTGCGGGGGTTGGTGGGCTGGATAATTCTCGGCACATCGATGAAGTGAGGCGATTCGGGCCCGACTCGAAGGTTGGAGGAGGAAGCAAATCCACGGACCTGCACAGTGGCAGTCCGGCTATTGCGGAGGACAGACATGCAGCGCAATTCAACCCTGTCACTCCGGGGAGTGATAAAACAGGCAGGGGATAGTTGCAAAGTAAATGATTGAATCAAAGGTCAATGACACGACCTTCAATTAAGCCGGGATGTAAACTGAGTTTGATTACCGTATAATAGGGAGGATACGCAGTCGTGTAAGTCGGAAGAAACAAGAAGCGATTTTCCCTTGGCCCGTGCACGGTAATGTCTTGGCGCCAAAAAAAAATAATTCCTTCGCCGCCTTTTATTTTTCTTCTTCTCTTCTTTGCACTCTGCCACTCTCTGTGTTTGGTCTTGCCTTCGATTTTTTTTTCGTCAGGCACTTACTTCTCCCTTCACATTTCAACCCACAACCGCTATCATGGGTACAGGAAAGAAGGAGGCCGCTCGTAAAGTGCGGCAGGGGAAGCCCAACGATGGCATGGCCAATGTCAAGACCAAAGGTGAAAATTTTTACCGGTATGTACAGCCATAACTAAAATCCCTATTATTCTCAAATAACCAATACTGACTTGCCTCCCAGTGATGCCAAGAAGATCAAGACCTTGAACATGTTCAAGGATGGCACACCGCGCCGCAACGCACAGGGTGATATCACAGTCGCCGCGAGTTATCAGTCCAAAGAGCTGCCCACAGCTCGCATCGAGCCAAACCGTAAATGGTTTGCTAACTCCCGTGTCATCTCACAAGAGGCCTTGAGCTCGTTCCGTGATGCTGTTGCTGAGCGTGCTGCCGATCCGTACCAAGTTCTTCTCAAGACCAACAAGCTCCCCATGAGCTTGATTCGGGACAATGATAAGGTCAACGGCCTGAAGCAACACCAGGCTAAGATGGCCATTGAGACTTCTCCGTTCAATGATACCTTTGGCCCCAAGGCTCAGCGCAAGCGCGTCAAGCTTGGTGTGTCGTCTCTTGAAGACCTCGCTGGCGAAACGGCCAAGATGCAGGACACCTACATCGAGAAGAACGATGAAGGAACTCATGCCGATGGAAGTGCGATTGTTCGTGGTGATGACACTGCCGCGATCGAAGACCTCGGTCTACTCACTACCTCTCGTGAATCTGTCTTCTCCAAGGGACAGAGTAAGCGTATTTGGAACGAACTTTACAAGGTTATCGATTCCTCTGATGTCATCATCCATGTTCTGGATTCCCGTGACCCCGAAGGTACTCGTTGCAGAAGTGTTGAAAAATACGTTCGCGAGGAGGCACCACACAAGCATCTGATCTTCGTGCTGAACAAGTGCGATCTCGTCCCCACTGGCGTTGCTGTAAGTTTCACTACTTCCCGTTTGCCATCCCTTTTTATCACTCTGTTCTTGTTATCCTTTTTCTTGTCCTGCGTTTTTCTGTTATCCCCCTGTTCCATCGCTAAGTCAAGGCTTCTTCCTGCGACTTCGGTCGTGCACGACTTCGGTTGTGCTTGTTTCAATGGAATTCCGTCTGTTACAGCTTTGGTATATTAACACTGGCCCGCACCGAATTTCGTTATGAACCTAGGTTGACTTGCTTTCGTCTTGGAAGCTTGTCGCAAAGGGCCAGCTGTGTTTTGTTTTTGAGTAGAAGTCTGCTTCTGCCTTTTTTGGTGGCATTGTGGCAGTCTTCTTAGTAACATCCCACACATTCTACCTATACACAATGTTTCATTCATTGCTAGTGACTGATTGCTAACTTTGCATCTTTGACTAGGCCGCTTGGGTTCGTCATCTTTCTAAGGACTACCCTTGCCTTGCTTTCCATGCCAATATCAACAACTCTTTCGGCAAGGGTTCTTTGATCTCGCTGCTTCGCCAGTTCTCGTCCCTCCACTCTGACCGCAAGCAGGTGTCTGTTGGCTTGATCGGCTACCCCAACTCGGGCAAGTCTTCCATCATCAACACTCTCCGAAGCAAGAAGGTGTGCACAGTCGCTCCCATTCCTGGTGAGACCAAGGTGTGGCAGTACATTACCCTGATGAAGAGAATCTATCTCATCGATTGTCCTGGTGTGGTTCCGCCCAACGCCAATGACACTGAGGAGGACATCCTTCTTCGTGGAGTCTGCAGAGTGGAGAACGTTCACAACCCAGAGCAATACATTCCGGCTGTTCTCCGCCGTGTCCTGCCCCGTCACCTTGAGCGCACCTACGGTATCAAGCACCAGGAGGACTACCTCGACTGGCTTGCGCTTCTTGCTCGCCAGGGTGGTCGTCTCCTCAAGGGAGGCGAGGCCGATCTGGATGGTGTCGCTAAGATGGTGATCAACGATTTCCTTCGTGGAAAGATCCCTTGGTACACACCTCCCCCAAGGGTACCGGAAAGGGTGATAAGGGCGAGAAGGACGGGGAGCCTGCCGACGGAGTCGAGGGCCGTGAAGGTCGCCTCGGCGAGATGCCCCGCAAGCGCAAGTTGGATGAAAACAACGAGCCTGCTGCCGATGATGCCGAGGCCGAGGCCGAGTCTGAGTCCGCACAGGACGAAGCCGTTGACGCCGAGGACAGCGATGCTGACTCGATCGCCAACTTGGAGGTCAGCGACGTGGAGAGTGGCGAGGAGGAGTGATTGATCCATCGGTGGTCTCTACGGCACTTGAGTGTCATCCCCATTCTGCCCTACGGAAAACAGACAGTCTGCCCTCGTGAGATCGGTTATGTCAGCTCTTGAAACACCAGAGCTTCCAGCCGACTCATTCCTCACCATGTCCGCATTGAGCGGACTTGGCTCTCCACAAGGCATTCGGCGCGTGCTTCTTATCGCACAGAGGTCTGAAGACTGCCTTGCGACATGTCGCCCAGGCCCGAAGAGCGCCTGTCATCCAAAAGCCGCGTCATCAATCGTGAGCATCCCAGTACTTAATTTGTACAACCCTAGGAGTTTTGGTGTTTTTCAGTCACTAGCTCCAACTCAGATACCCGATTCGATGAGGAATCAAAATGAATGAAAATAATTATTACTTGAATCCTTTCTTGTTCAGAGTAGCTGTAATTGGTATCTTCGTACACGTTTCTCTATAACCCAGCCTTCTACCTGCGGCTGAGCTGCCCGCGAACAGTTGGAAGTTGAGATAAGTTTGGTTCCAAGCTTGTGGTCCCGCTCCTCAACCACGGGTTCAATCCGGGGAAAAAAGGCCTGGTGGAAAATAGCGACATCCTCGGTTAAATTCATCTTAACTGGGTAATTTGTAACAAAATCGCACTGATTTCGTCCTTATTGTTTCAATTGATCCTTCCAAGGTGCTGGCCGATCTAAAATGGGTCGAAGACCATTGTAGTTTCGATGCCGGCTCGGTACCATCCTCAGAAGATCAAGCACATTAAGCCCACTACCTGGATCTCGGATGGATGGATCAGCCCCAGCACGCAGGAGGATATCTACAACCTCAAATTTGAATCGAAGACTAGCAATCCACACTGATGTAGCTCCAATACGGCCGCCAGGAGCATTGATATCGATGTCTGGTTCGGAAGCGAGAATAGACTCGACGACTGGAACCATGCCAAATGAGGCGGCGTAGTATAGAGGATGCGTCCCGTCAATGGCTACAGCATCATTCGTGTTCGAACCAGCGGTTGTCCGTAACAAAGTCTGTATCCATGTGCCGTAATTGCCCCGGCCGGGAAGAGATCTTGTGCCGAAGAATTTATGGATCATGTCCTCCTTGGGACCCCCAAAGCTGCAAGCTGCACCATGCTGGGGCCAGAAGTTTGCGGCATAATTCAAAAAAGGATGCTTCTCTCGTACTTTGGCTGGGGTTTCGGGACATCTTAGATATCCCTGTGCAAAATTGTCGAGACACAGGTACGTGAGACAACTGTGCATGGCTTTCAGGTCTGCGGTTGTAGGATCCAGAGCAAAATATTGGACGCGAGATGAGCGGATCCAATCAGACGTTAGGAAATCCTTGATAGACGCATGCGCGAAATTTAGGTAGCCATGTTGGTCCTCGGTGATGAGTCCTTGGCAAATTTCGAGAAGAATATGGGCAGGGACGAGCATCATGTCCTCATTGAGTGTCGTGCTTGTCTCATCCGTGACCACTATTTCGTTAAGACTTGTCAAAGTAAGAGGCTGCTTGGTGAAACTGAGCCAAAATAGAGCCTCATGAGCAATCTTCCAATCATCGGGGGCAATTCTTTCTAACATATTTGCATATGTCTCGCGTAAAGTCCCTGGGAGTGTTTTCAAGGCCTGCCGCATTGCCCGTACAGATCGCTGCGTGCTAAGGTTGTCTAATGAGAGCTGGACCCAGCGGAATCTGCGAGGAAATAATTAGACAACAGAAATCATGGTAAGATCGATACTATACTGACGATCCATCCGCATTTCGAAGAAGAGTGACTTCAATATCCGCTTGGAATTCCGGTGTCAAAGTTCTCAATGTATCATCAGTCTCAAGTCTGTATTTGATAAAAGTGCCAATGTCCCCTCTTGACTTTCCGATTATGTTTAACACGGATGCATTGGGGTGTTTGATGGAACTCATAGCGCTGGTAGTGGTTATAAGCACGCGGATGTTCGTGGACAGACTGGCAAGCCTGAGAAGGGAAGCTTCAAGGAGCTTCATATCATGACTTTCGTTGATTGCATCAACCAGAAGGACAACCTTTGTCTTTTCGGAAGCAGATTTGAGGATGGCAGCTTCGAGAACAGATAATTCGATAGGGAACCTGTGCGCCTGACTTTTTGGACCTTTGTTGTAGACAGACCGTATCTCATCCAATATTGAAGGAATTGTGCCCGAGAGTTGGGCCACAAGTGATCCTAGCACATTTCTTGCGTTCTGGGAGCTAAAATCGCTAATTGTGCAATAAAAATAAGCAAGATACATAGATTGGCCTTGAGAAACCATGGAAGTGAGTTCGTCGGCAACCTGTGCACTATCAAACGTCAGATATAAGAAGGAACCCGATTGTCAACGACACTTACAACAGCGTAGTTTTTCCAGTTCCGGCTTCATAACTATGTCAGTTAAATGCCCTCGAAATTTCCATTGGGTACATACATTTTCCAAAGAGGAAGAAAGCTCGATTTTCGTCTTGGTTGAGAAACGTCTGCAAATGACCGTCGACAAACCATCTACCAGTCCCATTTCTATTTCTTTTCGACGCCCGCAGATGAGAGCTTTCGGGGTTCACAGGAGCTATCCATCGCAGAAGCTCTCTGTTAGCAAATTGGTTCCGCTCTTGAGCTCGAATCCGCAAGTCTTCCTTCAATGTGTTTGCCAGATCACAAATCTCATTCTGCATCTCCCGATCCACCGATTTATGGTCTGCAATGAGAACCAGTATCAACCACGATTTGACTCTTTCCAGACGGATGAGATGCTCATTGACTTCCGTCTGAGTAAAAGGCCATTTCAGAGCTTGCTTGAGGCGCTTAAACTTGGTCTCTGCCGTTTTCAAGTCCATGAGTAAGGATTGGAGGAACTCATTTGTTGTATGCAACACTCTCGCCATGACATCGCGGTCAAATGAACTTGTTTCTGATTCCTCCCATTTGGGGGATCATTTATCTGTGCTGCCAGATGCTCCAAGATCCCTTTTAGTGCAAAGAGCTCTCCGCTGAGTTTTCGCACTTCGGACTTTGCCGTCTGCACCGTTTTGGCATATTGGATCAGGCTCGATAGCACATGGCTGACCTCTATCACGAGACTGGTGATGGAAATCGGGTCCATTGGGATTCAAATATTCAAATCAGGCTAGAATTGGGGTCCTGTTCACGTATTTGAGGTGATTATCAGGCTATATTGAAAGTGTGTGCGTTGTGCAGCGTTGTGTAAGCTGTACCCCGCACTCATAGATCAGCCTACAACATAGTGTTGCTGTTTCAACTTTTGTGGGAATACTCGAATTGGGTCTCGATTTGGCCGCAACTTCGAGTTTCCTGGGATAGAGTATAAATAGTCTCCAATTTCATCTTATTGTCTATAAAAGAGTACAGACAAGGAATATAAGGAAGGTTAAGAGTAATATTGACCAAATTGACACTATCCACCGCCGTGTACTCACCGCCCACCGCCCACCGCCCCCATCGTCATCGATGGCAGCTTGTATTGTATCCTCATTCCCTCACATCGATGCTCGAATGCCCGTCGATATGTCTATGGTCCCCTACAATAGGGGCAACTCCGATGTTGTTTTGTAAGTGACCTTCAAATCTATGCTACTAGTTATCTAATTGGAACAGGCGGCACAATGACTCGGTGGTAGTCTTTGACCGTGATTCTCAGCAGCTCGTTCTCCGCAATACGTCAGATGAAGACATTGACAATCTGGAGCTAGCCAACTGCCCATTCTGCCGTCGTTCAATGCGCGATAATAATAGAGAACGACATTGTGGGGATACTGAACCCGAAGGCGAATTCATTAACCCAAACTACTTTCGCATGCTCAACAATAGCCTCCCCAGCTCCGCAACATCCTCAAGGCCTCCTTCTCCAAGCCATCCAAGCCACCGCCTTGTTCAGCCTGCCCTACCTCGTGGACCTACCAATGACAGGCCCGTCCAACCTGCCTCATCCCAACAGCCATCGCCGCAGGGAATCTCCTCTGCAGCATTCAGCCCAGATTACTTCAAGAGGTTCTTTGTGGAGGAACGAGTTTTGGGCAAAGGTGGAAAAGGGGTCGTACTACTAGTGAAACATGTCCTAGATAGTGTGTCCCTTGGTCATTATGCATGCAAGCGTGTCCCCGTCGGCGATGATCATGAGTGGCTGGAAAAGGTTCTGGGCGAAGTGCAGCTGTTACAGCATCTCTCGCACCAGAATCTTGTCTCCTACCGTCATGTCTGGCTGGAAAATGCGAAGATAAGCACATTCGGTCCGAGTGTGCCTTGTGCATTTATTCTACAGCAATATTGCAATGCCGGTGATTTACATGATTACATCTGTGGCTCTGTTCAAACCCAGACCACTGCGCAGCAATTGAAGGACCGCCTCCGCCGTAAATCTAAGGGTGAACCAGAACCTCGAACCCAACTGGGAGGAGCTCGCACGCTGCAGTTGGATGAAATTTATTCTTTCTTCCGTGATATCACCTCTGGACTCCGGTATCTCCACGCCAATGGATATATCCATCGTGATCTGAAGCCACACAACTGCCTGCTCCACGAGACAGGTGATGGTATTAGAGTTTTGGTCAGCGATTTCGGTGAGGTGCAATCTCAAAATGCAATGCGCAAGTCGACTGGTGCAACAGGTACTCTTTCATATTGCGCACCCGAAGTTCTTCGCCAGCAATATACCGACGGACCATTCGGTAATTTTACGTTCAAGTCCGATATTTTCTCACTCGGAATGATCCTTTACTTTCTTTGTTTCGCAGCCCTTCCATATGCGAATGCGGACATTATAAATGAAGAAAAAGAAGACTTGGATCAACTCCGTGCAGAGATCACCAGCTGGGCTGGATTTGATCACGCACGAGCTATCCGCTCTGATCTCCCGGACAAGCTCTATAAGTTCCTAGAGCGCCTGCTCTCGGTTGATTCCAGCCGGCGGCCCTCAGCTGATGAGGTGTTAAACGGCATCCAAGTCGGTGCCAATTCAAATGAACACTTCCGCTTTAGGAAAGCTAGTTCGGGCAGCTCGGGAAGCTCCGACCTGCCTGGGGCTCGAATCCGCCCATTAGATAGCCAACAACCATCAGTAGAGCGAGCACTCTCTCCCACCAAATCTCTGCACCGAAACCCAGCATCTTTCCGGCGTGACTCGGTACATGACTCCAGTCATTTTCGAGGCAATAAGGCGCCTGTGTCTGACACCCACCCAGAGGGCCCTTCTGTTAGTCCAGATCAAGAATTGATCGTCCGGCGTCGCTACTCTACTTCCCCTCCGTCATCTCCAGCCCAACCTCCTCATGAATCATCATCGCCCGTCGACCCACAGCCTCATCCTAAACCAATCCCTCAAGGTCATCTTCTCCCACCCCCACCGAGCCGCTTCCCCATCCTTAATTCCTTGGCATCTTTGAGCCCATTCCCATCCTCGTCTGTCCTACAGCTCAGTCTCTTCCTCGTCAAGATCACATCTCTTCTTCATCCATGTTCACCGCTGGCCGTCAACCCCTGGATCCTCTACCCTCTTCTACTCTCTGCAGCATTTACTCTAACATCTCGCAGCATTCAAACCCAGACTCTTTCCGTATTTCTACACCTTCTGGTCGTCGGGCTGGGTTTCCGTCTAGGTGCCCTGTGTATCTGGCGCAGAAACTCAGAGATGAACTTGTGAATATTCTACGATGCATTGCATCTATTTTTTTTCCGGCCCTTTTAATGTACATCTACATGTGACTCTCACGATGATGCCCCTGATATTTTTTTAACGAGTTGATGAGATATTTCATTGCATACATGGAGGCAGGCAGCTACCCTCAGTGTAATGTACAAAAGGTTATTGAATTTTACACAGCAGACTCTGGGATCAAATATTTATTGAGCTTAAAGCCTAGGTAAATCACAAATAGTCAAACAGCTTTGCTTTCCTATCTCTGAGACAGCTACTTTGATGCTGTAGCTAATTATACGCGAAAGGGTCAAATGCTCCAGGAACATCCATAAATAACCCACCCATATCATTGCCCGGGTCTAACTGAGGCGCCTCGAGACCAGAGTTCTGGAAATATTGGTCCAACAAGAGCTAGGAGAGAGGTAAGATGGTTAGATATCATTCATGATCAATTCAATCTCCATGAAAGGACTTACCCAGTCCAACGTCTCAGACCCATCAATCATTTCCGACATTGGCTCCATGTAGGGCAGCTCCGGGCTCACTTGAGAAATTTCCATAAACGCAGGCTGATCGCACGAGAAAGTAGCCTGACGCTCCGCCACCTTCCGGGCCATCAAGTCCAGTGCCAGCGACGCAATGCGAGATTCCGGTGAACGATGGCTATTGGCAGCCCAAATGCGTTGGGAGGTTTTCAGCGCGGCAATCTCTCTAGAAACAAAGCCGTGGTCTGCGCGCTCGTCTACAAACGCCGTCGTATGAGATTCCAGACGCACGGATATATCCAGACATATCACCATTGCAGCTAGGAGGAAATCGTGGATTGTCAGTGAGGAAAGCATCCACTGGTCTTCGTGTAGACGGCCACCTGGCTGAAATGCTTGATGCAAATCTACTTGGCGGGCGAGAATTTCGAGAGCTGCTTCCACACAGAAACGTCGTGAAGTCTCGAATTTGGCGTCTTGGTGCTCGTATCGGATATACCGTCGGTGTAGAACGACGAGTCCTTTCAGGTATAGGAGTTCGATGTTGCAGCGGTTTAGGATCATCTCAGATGAATCCATGAGGGATTGATTGGTGTCTCTCCGTTTTAGGGAGTCAGGAAGCAGACTGTAAGCACCTCTCATCTCGGCGTCCAAAGTAAGGGTCCTGCTGTAAGATGGTGTTGCGAGGGAAATTGCATGTGCAACGATCTTTTTGAAGATGCTCATTACGCCAGCCTTGGAGGTAAAATAGAGGAAAGGAGTGTATTCTGAAGACGGGCGAGATGGGGGCAACGCCGACATCCGAACCTGGAGATCGGAGTCGTTTAGGTTCCTGGGAACATGGGTGTCACAACATTCAGCCGGTATCATGCTTGGAAGGCCTAGCTGGAAACTCAAGAGCGCGTCGAGCTGGAAGATCTGCAGCCACACCCGACGTCTCATTTCGCTATCAAATGGTGTTGTCGTCCCGGGGAAAGTGCTGGGGTCACGGTGGTAGCCCATGCGGAATGCTAACCTCAGTATGATTCCCATGTCGAACCATTGTCGGGAGGTGGTTTTCATGTCGCCCAAAAAGCCACTCTGGAGATACAGAAGCAATGCTTCTAATGCATAGGCATTCGCTGTTCTATATCTTCCCAGCAAAAGGCATTGCGCTGTCTTCAGTTGAAGGATATCGGGAGACGGAATTGTACCATTCAAAGCCCCGTCTGCGTTCATTTTCATGCAGAAATGGGCTGATACACTAATAATACCAAAAAGAAGCGCGATCCAAAGCACGGGGGCTTTGTGCGGTGCTTTCCAGAATTCTTCATACTGTCACAAGTCAGTAAGGGTAACGATTGTTCCATCGATTAGCTTCAAAAAGGAAGTAAACACAAAATATGTAACTCACTTCATCCTGGAATTTCCCCGAGTGCACAATACCTGCCAGTGTCCTGGAATGAGTTATATAGTATATGATGAAGGGTAGTTGCAAATGATATCCTACCTAGTACCATGTATGGAGCATTGAAATATCGAGAGACCAACATATCACAGATAGGGCGCGTTGGCAGCGAGGTAAGAATATCCTTGATATTCAATCGTGCTTCGGCCCCAGGAGCAAGACTCACGTCTGATTGTCCACTTCCACTGTCGTTGGTTGGTTCGCTGAGCGAAAAGGGATCAACGGTAGACAAGCTTTCTCGGACTTCCTTGATATCTTCCAATATAGAAGCCCAGTGATTGGAATCAACATGACTAGTTTTACCGTGATGAGCATGGAAAGTACTGGGCATCACTTTTTCCTGGAGATGTTGGTCTCCGGTGCGAACTTCATTGCTAGTAGCCAGCCGAGCCGTGACGACAGAAACTCCATGAGTACTAGGAAGGCTTCCGCTCTCATTAATTGTATGTGTCCCTTCTAATTGTGGCTGTGTGTTTGTCGAGGACACATTCTCTCCCTCGACAAATGATTGGATCGTATCCTCGAGACGCTTCAGTCTATCACTCAAGGCACGTTCCCTTGAAGTACGCGTCTTACCGCGTACAGCGTTAGAAGCGTATGTGCAATTAAATTCAACATTGCGTTTGATACATGTATCACAGGGTAGAGATCTGTTGCATTTCAGCCTAGGGAAGTGAGTCCACGAGGTCAGATCCTGGGAGTAAGGAGTGTACGATGCATGCTTACTTTCGTGTGCGACATGGTTCACAGGACAGAGGCGGTCGATTTCGTTTTTCAAATTTCAGAGACATTTCCAAGAATGAGCTTAAATAGTCAAGCAAAAGACTTGAAGTTATTCGATTAACAGATTATATCGGAGTATAGAAAAGAAGGGGGGCGGTTCGCAGCGGAGATATTATCTCCATCCCCGGCAAGGTCTGTTATTTGACGGTATTGATACCTTAAAATCCATAATTACACACCTATTTCCGCAAACGGATCTGTGTAATATATACAGAGTAGACGGAGATAATCAAACCCTATGAGGCGTCTTTCAGCTTTCTAGATAGACTTGGATTGAATTGACGAGAATGGACGTAATAAGTCCGAGTGCCAGAGTGAACGGTTTCCTATTTAAAGCGTCAAATTCTGTTGGATTTTGAACAATCATACTTTGCTACTACAATTCGCCAACACTCCCATCGTCTTGTTCATATTTCTTCGAATTCAATCAAACAAGACAGAATCATGCCTTTACTTTCATCTCTAGAGGGTATCTCGTCCACGGTATTCTCCAACACATTCATCGAACTTCCTTACCCCGAAGGCGATCTCAGCGGACAGACAGTCATCGTAACCGGTTCAAACCAAGGACTCGGTCTCGAGGCCAGCCGCCACCTGTTGCGCCTAGGCGTGAAGAAGCTGATCATGGCCGTACGCGATCTGAAGAAGGGCGAAGCTGCCAGACAAAAACTACTACAATCCACCAACCGCGAAGAAAGCTCAGTCGAAGTGTGGCTGCTAGACATGGATAGCTATTTCTCAGTCAAAAGCTTTGCCAGCCGTGCTGCGGCTATACCACGTCTTGATGCTCTATTGGCGAATGCCGGACTAGCTACCAATACATTCAGTATATCGGAAGAAGACGAGAAAACCATCACCGTCAACGTGGTGAGCACGTTCTTGCTTATTCTCTTACTGGTCCCCAAATTGCACGAGTCAGCTTCCAAGTTCAATATAACACCTCGTGTCACCATTCCAAACTCGGCTCTGCATTATACCGCTTCTCTTGAGCATCTGGATCCGCACAAAGAGGGCGGTATCTTCAAATCGCTCAACAACAAGGAAGCTTCCAATATGGCGGGTCGATACCCATTGTCAAAGCTGCTGGTGGTGTTGGGCGTGCGTGCATTGGCAGATCAGCTTGCACAAAGTAAAGCACCGCTGGTCATCATCAACACACCAAACCCCAGTTTCTGCAAGTCTCAATTGACGCGGGAAACGGACAACGTCGGTCTCCGTGTTTCTGAAAAGCTATTGGCTCGCAGTACGGAGGAGGGTAGTCGGGCTTTGGTACACGGGATCCTCGCTGATGAGAAAAGTAATGGGCAGTATTTGACTAACTGTCGTGTTCACGGGTCAGTTGGTTGTTGGTGTCTGTCTGGGAAAATCAAGTCAGCTAACTCTATTCTCTAGTCCATCTTGTATCGTGACCGATAAAAAGGGAGTTATGATTCAGGAAGCGTTCTTCAAGGAGTTGATCGCCAAGTTGGAGAGGATTGCACCAGGCGTGACATCTTGTCTGTGAGGCCGTGGCGTCCTTCGTTTGTTGATATGGCAGGAACCAAGTTGCACGTTTGGGCGCTCTGTCATGGGTAGATATATGTTTAATTATAGGGATAAGTGATTCTATAGTAATATAGATAATTCAATCCTGGTTATCTCAAACACATGCAGTCATCTTGTAGGCTTGGGTAGAAGCCAGATCAGTCTCAAGGGTGGAAATACGACGAAGCATCAAGAGGGGGTCTACGTGACAAGACACCAAGGCAGGTGACAGGTGGGAAGATAAAGTTGAGACATAAATGCATTTGCTACATATGTGATGTCGAGAGAGAATAAATAAACCACAGCTCCATCTATCAATCCTCCAGACAGTCAATACTCCCGTAGTTGCTCTGAACCTCCCTAGAGAAGCCCGAGTAACATACGATTTCTCTCCTGTTCTGACAGAATTGAAGGAGAGCAGCCAGAGAAGCTCTCTTTTGATCTTGGACTTTAGTTTGTGAGTGATACCACGGGTTCCCATCTCACGAGGAGACAGGGGTATGCACCTTGGATTTTTCCTTGAGGGTAGACCCACAAGGAAATTGGACGCCCGTTGGTCAGAGGAAGGAAGAAAGAAGAGGAAGAAGAGGAAGAAGAGGAAGAAGAAGAAGAAGAGAAGGAGAGAAGGAGAGAAGGAGGGTTTCAATAAGGACGAGGGGAATTAGGGAGACAAGCAAATCAAACAAATCAAACAGTTGAATGGTCATTCCTGATAAGTACATACATAGGTGAAGTTGAGTCTAGATAGCCCTTCAACTCTTGCAAAACTATCCCATTCGTGAAGCTTTGAACTTACTCACCCGTTTAGGTTGATCTTCTTCAGAAGGGAAAGTATCCTGTTCCTCGTCATCTTTAGATGTGCCATTGATGCGTTTTTGCATATTGAAGAACTCCGACGCGATCTGCTTCTGGTGAAGCTCTTCATCGTAGTGGTCCAATTCAGGAGCCACTGCAGCCCCTGTTTTGACCTGTCGCTCAAAGACCTTCTCGGCCAGAGTTCGGTCATTTGGGAATTGAGGCGGAGTAGGTTTCTCAACGACATCGGAGATCGGTGCGGAGAATGGCTTGGGCTCTTGGGGTGTCGCGGGGAAAAGTACAGGAGGTACCACAGATGGAGCGGTATTGGCTTGTTTGCGAAGGCGGGATTCGGTGACTTCAGAGGGATTTGCGATTGTAGCCCCGGCAGTAATAGACTCACTAGCAGCGCTACCTGGAGCAGCGGCCCGAGCACTTTTGAACCGCGACGTCTTCTTGGGAATAGCAGGGGTAGCTGGAGAGGGCTCCGGGGCACGACTGGTCCGTTCAACAATGGAATCAGCAAGCACCTGAGGCTCGGCCTGTGAAGCAGGAGCCTTCTCGGCGGCGATGGCGGGCGCGGGAGCTGGTGCGATATCAAGCTCATCGGCGAACGCAACCCGTTTCTTAGGCTTTTTCTTCTCTTGGGTGGAAGTTTCAACCTCAGAAGGTGTTGCGATCTCTTGCTGCACTTCCTCGGGGAACGTCTCGGCATCCTTGCCCATGTTCATCAAGCCTCGGGCATTGAGCTTGGCCTCCAATTCCATCATCTGCTGATGGTATTCTGCCGGAAGGCGGGTGTGAGAGCGGCCATGTTCGTCTTCGTTATCTTCCTCGTCGTAGTCGTAATCGTAGTCCTCGTCGAAGGAAATGTCACTTCCGGACTCATCCATTTCCAACTCTGCCACAATAGCCCCCACCTCGTTGATACCATAATCGAGCATTTCACGTCGGAGTCTTGCCTCTTCCGCAGATTCATTCACGTCCGTGACAGGCGGCTGCATGCGATCTTCAGCAGTCACCACAGACTGGGGCTGAGAGAATTTCAGGGATGCGGCAGTTGACTCTGTGGTTGCACTATCGTTCGAGGAACCATTCTGCTGGTCTGTAGCCGTTGAGTTGACTGGCCCGCCCACCATGCCTTCACGTGTAGTATCGGCGGGAGCTGCAGCAGTCTTCTCCGGCTCACTCGTCTCCGGAATATCCTTGACACCAGCCTTCTTCAGCACATCCAGCAATTCCGAAGCATCATTCCCAGGCGTATTGATCTTGCCCGAGATAACGTTTCCATCCTCATCAAGCTCCTCCATAATCTCCTGCATCGGGAACTCCGCACCGTCCTGCAGCGGTGGCTGATCATTCAAGACCAAAGCATCCAGCTCATTGTGGGCCTTCGAAAGCCTCTTCTCCATAGTCGCAACATTCTGCTGCACGTAGTCGATGCGTCTTCCAAGAAGATCAACCACCTGCCCGCGAGACCGCGTCACACCTTGCGAACCAAGTATTGTCTGCATTTCCTTTTGGTCCACCAGCGTGCCACCGAATTCCAGGGCCACGGCAAAGAAGTCGTCTGTGCTGGCGTCATCTTCTAGGTTGCTGATCTCCTCGCGGAGTCCATCGTATTCTGCTTCCCAGGTTCGCCAGTGGTAAAGCGATTTTTGAAGTTGGAGAATGTTTTCTTCGAGGGCGAGGCGCTGCTCCTCGAGAGCGTCGAGGTTGGGGTTCGGTACTCCCATGACCGTGAAAAGCGAAAATGAATGGTAGCTTCGCACTGGCAATGTGAATTGAATGAGACGGAGCAAAGAGAGGGGTTGCCGGAGGCAAAAAGAAAAAAGTCGCAAAAAGGTGACGATGATGTGGTCCGTGCGCATAAGTTGCTTATCAGCCTCAAGCCAAGTCTGTGGTCCATCTCTCCCACGTCACTTTAGTCTTACTATGGCCTCCGATGCGGCTTCTCGCCGTGATGAAGACGGTAAGGCCTTTTTCAGCTTGGTCATGATGTCTAATGCTAATTACATGTTTTCACAGAGGTTTGCCCTGTCTGCAAATCGTCACGATACCTCAACCCGGACATGCGCTTTCTCATCAATCCGGAATGCTACCACAAGATGTGCGAGTCGTGCGTGGACCGCATCTTCTCATCCGGTCCTGCAAACTGTCCGGTAGCCGGATGTCGCAAGACGCTGCGTAAAAATCGGTTCCGCAAGCAGACATTCGAAGATATTGGTGTGGAAAGAGAAGTAGATATCCGGCGGCGGGTGATGCACATGTACGTCTCTTACCAAACACCCGGAAGCACCCTGCAATACGGGAGAACTAACGGCTTATCTCAATCAGCCTGAACCGCCGCGAAGAAGAGTTCGACTCAAAACGTGCATACGACGACTTCCTTGAACAAAGAGAGGAAATAATCGCGAACCTAGTAAGCCGGATCGACGTGGCGAAGACCGAAGCCCAGCTCCAAAAATACGCAGCAGACAACATGCAATCAATCCGCACAAACCAAGCCATAGAAGCCGAAGAAGCCTCCTCCTTCCAAGCCCGCATGACCCTCGAACAAGAAGAAGCCCGACTACGCCGCCAAGCAGTGCGCCAGGAATACGAGATCGAGCGCCGCGAGATCCAAGCCGGTCGCGAGGATTTCCTCTCAAGACTCGCATCTGGCTCATCGACGGATGCCGCGGCCATCGCGCGCGAAGGACACAAGGTGCTGCTCAAGAAGTCGTCCGCGCGCCGCAGTGAGGAAGAACGCATTCGACAGAAACAGGCTGCGCTGCGGTCAGATACCAAGCGTGGGACGAATCTTTCCACGGTGGATCATGCTGGTGCAGCAGATACGGGGCTTGTCAAGGGTCTGCGCAAGATCAAGACGCCCGAGCCGGAGAAACCGTACGATCCGTTTATGGGCTATGTGGCCGACAAACGCGATTATTATTCTCTCCAGTCGTATTATCCATCGCAGTATCTTGATCCGATTCGCAATGATGCGCGCATGATGGCTGGTGGTTATGATTTGCGTGAATACTACTCGCGTACCCTGCTTGAGGCTTTTGCTGGGTTGAGTTGCTTTGTTGGGGAGGAGATCTCACAGAGAGATGCTGCTAATATTTCGAAGTCGACGGCCACGGAGGGCGCTGCTATGGCCGTGGAGGGTGGAGAGAACACTGCCTAAATGCTGCTTCGACTTAGGTTGCAATGGCTTTGGGGGCTTGCATGGTATTCGGATTCTTTTATAGCACAGCGATGGCGTTTTTTTTTCTTTCTGTTCGCTCGGTGTATCCCAGCTGCATATGGTACTACCATCCATCATCTAACCAAAATGTGACAAATATATCGAGATTGATACAAACAGCACACAACAAGGAAACGGCCGGAAAGGGAGCTACCGCTATATTGAACTCTTAGAGATAGAAAAGGTTATTTCAAAGTCGTGGTACGACCGCAATGACATTTGAGTATCAAGAACTAACTACCTAACCAACAATCGATTACCCAAGTCAATGAATTAAACATACAGATGGAACCATACTCCATGAAACAGCGCCAAAGTAGCAGTAAAGTAACCAGAATAGTATCAACACACCAATGCGATGCAATAAACTCAGTGACCGCCCATAGAAAGGTGGCCGGTCATCTCACCGGTGCTCTCAATACCCTCCCAGGGCAAATCCTCCTCATCATCCAAGTCAATCTGGCCGCGGCGAGAAGACTTGTCGGTAGTACCAGTGACATCAGGTGCATGGGACATGTCGACATCAATTCCAATTGACTCAAGGGTTGCTTCCATTTCATGCTCGGTCATCTCACGACCATCTTGCTTTTGGCCCTCTAGAACATCGTAAAGAGCGTAGATTTGGTCGGACTTCATGTCAATGTCCTTGAAGATTTTGTCAATCTTCTCTTGCAGGGCCTTGCGCGGGCGCTTGCCGAGCGATGCGTCAAGCTTGTTGTAGGCGCTTTGGTATGTGACCAGTTGCATCTTTAGGTGAGAAAGTTCGTCCTCCAGGCCCTTAAGAACAGTAGCAAGAGCGACAGCAGGGGGTTGCGAGGGGCGCATAGTTGGTTCTTCGTTCCAGACGGATGGCTTGGGCATACGCTCTGACACAGGGATGGGCTTAGCGACCTTCACAGACCCGTGGTTGCAGGTGCCGTCAGCGGAGTGACCGTTGCAAACTGTGCAGTTCTGTCCATTGTGTCGAGCAATGTTATCCAATGCTTTTTGGGTGGCTTGTGGCAACTTGGATGGATCAGCGGCCGCCAGGTCGACGTGGTGGAGGGTAATATCAGGAAGGATGAAAGCGGAGGTCATGTCAGTGGCATTTCGCTGCTTCCTGCGCTGGGCTGCTGCGGGCAGCGAATTTTCTGAATGACGCCGAGAACGCTCGGCAATTGGTACTGTGAGACTACTGTCTCCATCGGTATTGGCCTTTGAGGCGGTGGTAATATCTCCAGTAGCAGAGGCTGGGCGAGGGATTTCTGCTTTGGATTCACGAAGAGATGACTTGCGGGGGGCAGGAGTTTTCAAAATGCTCTGTCTAGTCGAGTTGACGGTCTCTGTAGGATTGGGTTCCTTAGGGGCACTCGAGCGTCGTTGCTTGCGGATCATTCTTTCTTCTTCCAATGTCTTGCGTAGACGAGAGATTTCATGCTCATCAATGACACTCAACAAGGTAACGTCTGTTTCGGATGAAGCCTTGGTCTGCTCAGGCACCTCCGGTCCAGTCACATCTTCAACTACCACTCGCTTCACGCGCTGTTTGCTCGAGCTGGGTTGTTTGCGGGAGCTCTTAGACTCAGCAGAGCGGGACACAGCTGACTTTGATGGCTTAGAGGTTGACGTACGTCTTGATGATGGCAGCTCAATAGAGAAGAGAGCCTCATCGGCACGTTGCTTTTCAAGGCGAGAAATTTCCTTATCCACTTGGGTAGACACTTTAGAGCGGGAGTCATCCTGGCGTCTGGTTCTCGTATTGGAGCGGTTGCTCTTCGATGTAATGTCCCTGGTGCTCCGACTAACGTCCCCACTGGGGTCGGTGTAAGATTGGCTGTCGTCGACATCATCAGACACGGCTGAACTGGCTTCGGACTCGACGGTGTCCTGTTCGCGAGCCTTGCGGCCCAAGGTTCGGCTGAGCTGGGACTTGAGTTCTGCATTTTCCTGTCGCAGTTCCTCGTTCTCAGCCTTCAGCTCTCGAGTTTCGAGATAAGCGGCCCCAAGTTGCGAGATAGCCGACTCTCTGTCGTGGTTCAAGCGCTTGATGGCAGACTCCTGGACCTGGGCCTTTCGATCGGCAATATCCAACTGGTTTTGCAAAGCGAGATTGGCAGCGTCTAACTTCTGGTTCTCATTTTCCAAGCGCTTAGATCCCTTTCTGTGCGAATTATCCTCTGATTCGTATTTCGCTGATGACTGGCGAGGCCTGTTCGCCTTCAAAGATGAATTCTCCTGGCGATAACTGTCCATTCTTCTCTCTGCTTCGGACTTGAACATCTCCAATTCCGCGACTTTATCCTGAAGTAGTCTCAAATGAACAAACAAGGCCTTCTCATCTTCGGGGACAGGTACTGCATCAAGCGGCATGTGCTCATGGGGGTGAGACACGTCTGTGTGGTCATGAAGTGGAGACACAAACCGGGTAGAGCGCACCTTGCCCTGCCGGGAGTAAACGGGTGTGCCATCTTCGTACACACCGGAGACGAGTTCAGAGATATTAGGGAGGTCGGGAAGAAGGAAGGATTGATGGGTCATGGTATCGCCAATAGTGTTGTTGTTTGTTGCATTGGCATTGCTTTTGCGGGGAGTTCCTGCGGTGTTGGAAGTCGATTTGCGGGTTTCCTTCGCGTAGGCATCTCGCGAAGCACGCTCAATTGCGTCTGCAATCTCCTGCGAGGTATTTACGTTTCCAAAACGCGTCGAACGTGTCTTCGTGGTGATAGGAGCAGGTCGTTCATCCTCCAAAAATGAACCCTCGTAGCTATCACGCACTTTCGCGTGCATATCAGAGAATGTCCGACGCTGGTCGCGTTGAGCTTTCGAGACTTGCGGGCTCATAGTTTCTTTCTGTGCTTGGGTCGCTCGTCGCACCTGAGCGTTCTTTCGTAGGTTTTCACTGACTGCACGACGCGATGGACGCGTGGCAGCAACTGGCTTTTGTGGTGTGGGGTATTCAACGCGAATGGCGGGCGATGATGAGCGTACACTATTCTCGAAGCTCATCATAGAGCTGCGCGAGTCGTCGCGTTCTGGTTTTCCAGCACCGCGTCCCACTTCAACGGACATATCAAGATCGCTATGTGAAAGATCGTCGTCCAATTCGTGTTCCTCCTCTTCGGAGGTCTGTATTTGCGAAAATTCGGGGAAAGCACGGTCGAGTGTTGATGTGTTGATATCGTAGTCAAGCTCCTCATTGACACGTCGTGTTGAGGTGCCCATTATTTCGTCGTCCAAATTGGTGAGCGAAAATGAATCGTCATGTAAATCAGAATTTTTGTTCATTGGAGGCATTCTAGGTGTAAAAGGGTGAAGTTGAAGATTGGAATTGGTTTGTTTTGGAGCAAAGTCGGAATGTTTGGGTCGGGCGCGTCTCGGCAACCCCGGGAATTCTGATTGGTTGGAGTCCCCCACAGCCGAACTACAGAATCGAATTGTTCAATTTCTTTATTTCTACTTACAACGTAGGCAGATGTACTGGATAGAGAATATTTTACTATATTTGCTGGAAATACTCAGAATAGTGTTGATTGTACTAACACCATTCTCAGACAGATAGCAGATAAACGGGAAAATATGTCTATTGCGCTAAGAAGGAAAGGAGAGAACTATAAAATGGGAGATCACGTGATCTCGTAATACCCCCTACGAGTCTACGACTAGTGATCTAGTTATCACTATAAATAAGCACTGGAAAAATCCTCTTATAAAGTTCCTTCCTTCTCTTAGAAAAACTATTTTATAAACTATCAAATGCCCCCTATGTTTAGTATATAAATCGGAATTTAAATCATATATTTTCGATCTTATAGGACACACTGAGTATGCCACCGGCACATAACTCTCTCATTGGTTCATATTGCCAGCAGTAGTTTGGATATCCTCTCACTTTATAAAAACTAATGTTGTAGTTATTAATTGAAGCTTGCGGATGCTTAAAGATATCTAAATACTTAGATCATAAGGTTGATAAAATTAATGCCTTCTAAAATAGGTATAGGGACTTCTAAAGTGAACTGAATCTGAACTGAATCTGAACTGTATCTGAATTGAATCTAAATTGAATTTAAAGAAAATCAGTAGATCTCTTAGCCGCTAGTTTAGGGGGTGGGTGAATCTTTATAGAGTAGACTGTTGTATGTAATAACCAATGACAGAGTTATGTGCCAGTGACATACTTAGTCGCCCGTATACTAGGCCTATCTACATGATCTATCTTCGAAATATCACCTTAGTAAGGTGCTTTATCAAGTCGTTAGTTAACGTATTCGGAATAAGACCTACCCGAATGTGAAGAATTTCAAACTACGCAATTTCCCGTTGCATGTCAACGAAATGGAGGATTTGCAGCTGGACACCTGTACGTTTGCCCATATCATGGGCCAAACCCTGGCCATTCTACACTGGAAAGCCGGCGTTGATGGGAACGACATCGAGTTCATCTTCGGTAGTTCCCCCTTATTGTCTCAAATGCCGCGGTCAGATGAGATTGCGGAAGAGGACGAGTGGTCGCTAGGAGATCGGTTTGATTTTTCTCGCCGGTCAAAGCATGTGGCTCATCGATTTTAATCTGTGGGTACTATTACCGAACATTGCTGGTCACTACTAACATGTCGATAGGTGCGCAAAGTTCAAGGAGAACCCTACAGGTCTGAAACAAATCGTGGACGCTTTTACCTGGAATGACCCCTACTACCCATCACCCGAGTTGACCACTGCTAAGGATAACAAGCTTTGGTCCGAGTTTCGCAAACAGTACCTTGAGGTTAGCCGTGTTCTGACTACGAGCGCAATTCCTGGGCGTTTCATTGCCGAGATTGAGAAACGAGGACGTAAGGCAAATGTTGGGGAGCTTTTCTGATTATGGGGAGAGACCAAGTACGTGCAAGTGCCCTATTTTAATGAATAATGGGAGCGTTGCTTTGGTAAGGGGAATTTGCGAATATTCTTATTAGCTTACCTTTCCATAGACGCAATCGCAGTAGGAGGTTCTGACCCTGTCTGGTGAAGCTTAACTGAAAAGCTAGACAATTTCATTCGCGGGTAATAGAAGCCATAATAGGATTTCTATACATAAGAAGACGGCCGTGACATCATGTGTATCTACAACCACGCCAAGCGCGATCGACAAAGTAATGCCCCTATTATCTCTTGTCGGCGGAGTACATAGCTAGCCCCTTAGTTAGTACCTGAGAACCCCGCTTATAATGCAGATGTCCCCTTCCCCTAAGATACGTAGTATGCAAAAAGGAGCAAAACGACGTATCTAAAGAGCGTAAATCTACATGCAGAGACGCATCTCTGCTGCTTATCGTCGCCAAGGATCAAGTGTTCCGGAATATGGGTGTACATATCTCTGATACGAGCATGAAACTAAGATAATAGACCATGTAACTAACAATAGAGGTAGTCTAGTTGATACTTGCAAGGATCTAATATCAGCAAGACTCGATCTACGGAGTACGGAGTACTACAACATGCTTCTCTTTATTCCAGACAGCTAATAGGTCTTGGCTCGATGGATATGGAACCAAGGAATCCTTTGACTTGCCCTAATAGTTTCATGATGATTCTTCCCCACCTTGTGTTTCACTTGGACCAAAATGCTCTTCCTAACTATAAAACCTTCGATTGCCAGTCAAGGATGTAGTACAAGGCACAAATCATCCAAATCAAAAGAGTAAAGAGTTACACAGATGAAGACCCAATTCAATCAGTTGTCAGGGCTCGCTCCTTGGGGCTTGCTCTGCCTCTTGACACAGGTTGTCAAGGGATGCCCTTCAGTTTCGACGTCTACTCATAAGACTGGATTTACACACCAACATCATCATGCTCGTGCTCACAGCTCACGCGCCGCCGGAAATGGCTCCTGCAAACTCAAGCCGACTTCCGTGGATCTCACCGAGGGTATCGGTGCTACAGCCCAGACTTTTGCCCCAAGCACAGGCACCCTCAACGGCTATATGATTTTCGTCGACTTCCCTGATGCAACGGCCTCAGAACCAACTGAGGAACTACACCAGCTCTTCATTCCCGGCGCCCCAGACTGGTACAGCAATTCCTCCTTTGGTCAACTTACTCTCGACGTCACCGCCGACACATCCCGTTTCTACCGTATGCCCGCAGAGTCCTCCACCTACGCCTACGACCGAGAAATTACTTCAGAGCTTCTAGAAAAATACATCCAAGATGCGCTCGACTCAGTCGGCAAGGCCATCAACTTCGCCGGCACCGATGTTCTCTATATCGTACCGACCAAGGCAGCAAAGCACATCTCGTTCTCGCCAACCTTCATGGGCCAACTGACGGCGGGGGATGGAACTGTCATCAGCAAGACTGTCACCTTCGGCCAAGACGCTCCTGACTCATGGGGCTTTTTGGTCATGAACCACGAGACAGGACACACGATGGGTTTACCGGATCTGTATCCCTCGGATAGTACTGGCGGTACCACCACCATGTATGTTGGTGGACATGACATTATGGGATTGATCACCGGAGGGCTTCCGGATTACCTTGCGTGGCACAAGTGGAAGCTGGGATGGTTTTCCGACAACCAGTTCGATTGTGTGAACGGTGCTGGATCGACCACTCACACCATTACCCCCGTTGGAACCAAGGAGGGTGTTAAGGGAGTCGTTGTGAAGCGGGATGAGACTACTGCTATTGTGGCTGAGGTTAGAGCCAAGGCTGGCGCAGATAGCAAGGCTTGCAGTTCCGGAGTGCTTATATATACCGTGTCAACATCCCTGGCTTCTGGTGCTGGCCCTATTCGCGTTCATGATGCGACTCCAGGTTCTGGGGGATGTGGTGGTGAGGAACTCAATGATGCCCATTTCACAACCGAGGCGGGCCGGAAGACTTTTGTTTCCAAGGATGGAGTCAAAATCACTGTGGTCGGGCAGAAGGGAGATGACTATACCGTTACAGTCGAGGTGGAGTGAGTGGAGTACATCACTGATGTGGCTTCTTCTCCTAAGAGGTAGCTTTATATTAGTTTATTATAACATGTACTATAGTATACCTTTAGTCTTTATATCTGACTCTATACCTATCCTAAGTATTCCTTTATATAGATGCCCCGTATATTGTACACTTCGCACCGTTATGGGCTCCCGGTCAGTGATCGAATTGATCTACATATGATCTACGCGTCTGCTGATCTTTGAAACGGACGATCATGCCTTAATCCTCCCACTGCAGGAAAGCGCACTTTGAAGCCAATGACTTCTCGCCTGGTCTAACACCTATATACCTTGGTTGTACCTGCATGGACTCCACAGTACGGACTCCGAGGAGTAGGCGTGTATATGACATGTCGACGGAATACTCGCTTATTCTTCCTTGTATTTCTTCTAGGATCTTTAAATTATATTATCATAATCTACTCCGGAGTCGAAAGTCAATTCATTGCACATGGGGCATTGGATTCTTGTAGTTGGTGGGAAATGCTTTTCTTATATTATCAAGGGTAGGACACAAATATATACATGTGCAAAGTAGTCAACCGAGGTCGCCAGCAACGACGACCATTTTTATTTTTATTTTCTTTTTACCTCAGTGTGAATTTCAGGCTAAATCAGTCCAGGGGAAAGATAATCTCATCTGATAGGGACGGAAAATATATACTATGTAGTAGTACTAGTAACAGTACTAGTACTCAGGTGGAAAGGCCCCACACGAGAGAGGCTCTCCATACGAGATACAAGCCACAAAATCGTTATGCATACGAATTGAGCTAAGAAACAAGCTAGTCTTGCACTTATCTTGGACTTTCCCTGGAAGCGATGTAAGACATAGAGGGTCAATTGGTCGAAACTGTCCCCGGAGGGGAAATAATTCCGTAGATTGATATGAATTGAGGACCATGTACATAACATTGACCTTGTAGGGCAAAATTCGGGAAGATCACCACATGTCAAATAATCAAACCCCTTGGAATGACCTTGGAACCCCGTCGGGCTAGATTATTAGTATATATTACTAGGTACCTCTAGTGACTTTCACTTGTATACTAAAACATGACAACAGTTTAGTACTGTGAAGTATCTCACGGGTAGGGCCATCTCCGGGGCCACGTGTTTCAGCTTCATACAAGAGCAACGGGCCAATCAGAGAGACCAAAACACTCACGAGCACCAAGTCCGCAAAAGTTAACCCGTTTGCTTTAAAGTCAGGTCGACATTTAAAAATGGACTGATTTTCCCCCTCTTCGTATTCGATATCCTTGCAGGTTCTACGTACTTGTCGTGACACCCATCTACTCATTCATTCACTAGGTACAATGGCAGCATTCTCCAAAGAAAAGCATGGGGAGGAAGAGGGCCTACTTGGCGAGAGTCAAGATCAAGGCCGGAAGCAGCAACAACAGCAATCGTCCCACAAATGGCGTAAAATTACCCTAGTGTCCCTGCTGGGCGCTTTCGCCCTGTTTGTGTACTTCGCGAAGGGATCTCAGTGTAACCGCTCCCCCTCGCATGTCACAACCCAGCCCGATCTATCTGTGACTTCTCCCCTGGACAAGTCGAGGAGAGCATCTCATCACGAACATGCCTGCAATACTGTTGACGGCGGTTATCAATGCAACTCCGAGCTCTCACACAAGTGGGGCCAATATTCGCCCTATTTCTCTCTTTCCGACGAATCGGCCATCTCAGATGAGGTTCCTCACGGTTGTCAGATCACCTTCGCTCAGGTGATCTCCCGTCACGGTGCTCGATTCCCGTCCGCGAAAAAGAGCAAGGCGTATGCCGCGCTCGTTAAAAGCATCCAAGCGAACGCGACTTCATACAAGGGCAACACCAAATTCATCCGCTCGTACAACTACACCATGGGCGGTGATGACTTGGTTCCCTTTGGAGTGAATCAGATGGTGGACTCGGGAACCAAGTTCTACCAGCGCTATGCGGCGTTGGCTAAGAAGGCCGTGCCCTTCATTCGCATATCTGACTCGGAACGGGTTGTGGCCTCAGGAGTGAACTTCATCAAGGGCTTCCAGAAAGCAAAGTCAAATGACAAGCATGCCAATCACCGCCAACCAAGCCCTAAGGTCAATGTCCTCATCTCGGAAGAGTCTGGCACCAACAACACTCTGAACCACAGTGAGATCTGCGACAAGTTCGAAGAAAGTGAACTGGGCGACGAGGTCGAAGAAAAATACATGGAAATCTTTGTGCCGCCCATCCGAGCCCGTCTCGAGGCTAACCTTCCTGGCATCAAACTCGAAAACATCGATGTAGTCAGTCTGATGGACATTTGTCCTTTCGACACAGTGTCCCTGACTAGCGATGGATCCAAGCTATCTCCATTCTGCGACCTCTTCACCCAGACCGAATGGAACCAATACGACTACCTCCAGTCACTCAGCAAGTACTACGGTTATGGCGCAGGCAACCCGCTCGGCCCAACCCAGGGTGTCGGTTTCGTGAACGAACTCATCGCCCGTCTCACTCACACCCCAGTGGTCGACAACACAAGCACAAACCGTACGCTCGATGCCCCCGGCGCTGCGACATTCCCCCTCAACTACACCATGTACGCAGAATTCACGCACGACAATGGAATGATGCCGTTCTTCTTTGCTTTGGGGCTGTACAACGGCACCGATCCCCTCTCCCTCACCAAGGCCCAGTCTACTAGCGAAACGGACGGGTTTTCATCCTCCTGGACGGTGCCTTTCGGTGCTCGTGCTTATGTCGAGATGATGCAATGTCGCCGCGATCCGGAGCCGCTCGTGCGAGTCCTCGTTAACGATCGTGTTGTTCCGCTACATGGTTGCCCCGTTGATAAGCTTGGTCGTTGTCGCCGTCGCGATTTCGTCAAGGGGCTCACTTTTGCACGCTCTGGCGGTGATTGGCCCAA